GAATGGTCCCCGCTACACCTTGTTTCCTCCAGCTTAGCTGTTTGAGTAGATTTTTAGCATATGAAATTAGATCGTAATTAATTTGTAAGACGCATTAATAAACCGTTTGTACGGTGTGCTTATCGCGACGGGAGGTGCTCTGAAGTTATTTGCCGTGTTTCTTACTAATGAAGGACACAGCTGATGCAATTTCACTTATTTTGACTATGTTTTGGTTTTCTTTAGCTCCGAACGTGGTGTTCTTCACGCAACAAAGCGTCTAAAACCCTATTTTTGTAAATATTTAGGTAAACCTGCCCCCCAACTCACAGAAGGCACAATTCAGCCTAAACGAGGACGCTTTCCGTGACCTCTTATGCGATCTGAAACTGTGGTTACGTCGACCCCCTCAGAACGAGGATGAGACCCTTGATTATGCCCTCGTATCCCATCTTATTGAGCAAATTGCTTCTCATTTCACTTGGCTTTGTAATGATCATGCATCTGTGGAGGTTAGTCCCCATTCTGAAACAATCCTCTTTTACCGACAAACTAATCTGTACGATACTTTTTTTTCAGGCTAAAGCGTCAACGGAAAAGCTTGCCAAGTTGGTGAGCGATTGTCTATTTGACAGTCTTATCTTTCTCATCATGGATGCCGTCAACGGGATGAATAGCTGTAATCCAACCAGCGTTCACTTCGGCCAGCTGATCGCTGCGTCCATGCGTCTCTTCGGCATCGTCCTGCTCACAACCCCTACCTATGGAGTACTTCAACTGTGAGTCAGAACTTCACATTCTTCAATTCTGCTTACTTTTTTCTCTAAGCTGCTGCTGGAGTACTTACATGATACTGTTTCGCTTTTAGGCTCGGTCAATTTTTAATTTGGACATTGCCAAGGCAACAGACGAAAGGGGATGGCGAAATTCCTAATGAAACGGTGACCTCAGTTGCGCAAGGTATTTGAATAGCGCGCGATTACTGCCGTTCATGCGCATTTGCCGAATAATTTTGCCTTTATTGTTTGGAATAGCTTCAAAAGCATCTCCTTTCCTTTATTTTCTGGCTAATCCGTTTGGTTTTTGTTAGCTCCTTTTCAAAATCTCAGATCTCGGGATGGTGTTTGTTAGCGGAAATTGTCCAAACACACCAGGTCGTTGATTGTTGGATGCTCGATATCAAAGTTGAATTTATTATAAAAGTGTATTTCAAACAGCAACTACTTGAGGTTAGAATACTGTTGAAATAAAGTTTAGACGATTTCCTCTTCATATTTATTTCACAAGGCAAAGCTATTTAGACTTTTCTGTTATTACAGTGAAAAATCATACTATTTCACACAGTCTGTGTGCATTGCATTCACTATGGCTGGTTTCATTGCGTCCTACACAACCCGCTCTGTGCTGAAAACAGAAACTGAGCTTCTCAAAGCGTTGAATAGATAGTTTATATGTTCGTTAGCTTCATCCTCTTCTTCCTAAAGAATTCTTCGATTTTCCAAACCGTCTGTATCGCACTGGTTTCGATACAAATATCTTTTTTAAGCATGGTCTGATTTCTATATGAAACAAATTATCGCGAAATCTCAAAGGTTAGGGACTAAAACTCATTGCGTACCACAACCGGAGAAAGAGCCAGGTTATTAATTAATGGGGTCAATTTCGACTAAATTCAAGATCTAAAGTACGCCCAAAAGGGAATTGAATATCATAGAATGGCCTTAAAAATAATTGTGTTTGCTTTCCCACCACCAGAACGCTCCATTCTGATCTTTGTGAGGAACCAGTGCTTTCTGCTTCTCTCACATCTCCTCTCTCAGCCGAAGCCTAAGTGTTCAAAGTAAGTTCTGCCCCCCTTCATCTTGTTCCTCTTGACTAACTGTAGTCATGATTCTCCTTTTCTCCATTTTCCAGGCTCTGTGATCAAATGGTCAGCGTCCTGGGCTTCGACTGGTTTAACATTTTCCTTTCTCCTAACCTCCACGATGCCACTGCGGCCCACGCCTTACGTACCTTCTGTCTCGCCCTTCTCACTTTCAGCGGAGGTGAACAGAAGTCCTCCACTGACCCTGAATTCACGGATTTCCCTGGTTTGGTAGCGTTTCGGAAGGAGCTCTTCAGTGGTGGGTGGATGCGGGTTTCGACGAAACGTGGACAGATGGGTGGAACTGCCACTGGGGGACTGCCGTTCGGTAGGTGAACAAATTCAAGTATTTCATAGTACCTGAAATGAGCAAGAGTGATGGTTGGAGAAAAAGGGGAGAAAAAACATATGAATTAGTGGAAGTGTCAGTAAGTTCTTAGCGTAATTTCCATGAAAAAACTTAATATCGTAACGACCGCGTTACCTCTGAAGTGCATACTGGTCGACGTATACTGATGCACCACCATGGATATAGCATCCCAGTTATCCTTAAAGGTGCTCTGCCATACGGGTTTGCATGTACATTTGTTATGGATGTAGGTGAACCGATGGACTAGCACCATAGGTAATGTAAAAATAAGTAAATAATCGGTCCAACATCTTTTATTCTTTTAAGCATCCTTCCTCATTGCTCCAAAAATTTTCCCTTCTTCCCTGATTGTTGCGGCGATATTCGTTGATATTGAGGATTTCCATTAAATAAGAACAAAAGATCCAGATTTATAAACACTACTATTTAGATTCATTGCCAATTTCCTGTGTCTTATTCAGCGTTCTGGAAAATGCGATGGGGCTTCACCCGGAAGGTAGTGACGATGTATAGACGGATTTATCTCGCGTAGCAATCGCATTTACTTTTCGATTTAATTAGCACTTATTTGAGTGAACAGAGTGGTCAAAGAAAGTAGTACCGATTTTAATGGCGTCCAAATCTCAAGGTAGTAAATTTTCATATTTATCTTTCGGAAATTGCCTCATTTTTTCTCGTGAGGAAGAATTTTGTCTTTCCAATCAGGTTCCACTTCTTCACTGATGGATGGAATAGGTCCAAAGGCTGATTCAGTTTTCATTTTTCATCAATCTACCTTGGAAATCCTCGGTACAACTTTTTGCTTGATGGTTTTTTGATCTATTCTACAATACAATGACTCTTAAGGTATTTTTTGAGTTCCAAATTTCTTCGTAAAAGGAGTAAATCATGTCAAGGGAATCCCACCTCTCCACTACAGTGAAAGGTTAATTCTGCGTGGGTATCAGTTAATGGCTCTTTGGTGCTACGGGACAGCTGTAGGGCTGGGAGTGGGGACCGGAGCTATTATCAGTTAAATCCGATTCTAAATGCAGCATATTTATTTCATTAAACGTCGCTTTTGGTTGACCGTTTCTAGCCACGGCCCGACTTTCCTCAGCGTACTCCATTGAGGCCGTTCAAACTCGCATGAGCAATAATGATACCAATGGGAGAGTCGATGGATTTCTCGCACTCTCGGCCCTCCTGGTGAACAACGCTGGAATGCCCGAAGTCTATGCCATGCTGATCCATCTTCTACTAGGCATCCGAACTCCCTTTGTTCCTGTTTCCATGGTACGCTTGGTGATACCCATTTACTCGCTCATATTCTGGTAAAATGGCTTTACTACTCATTTTTCTTCATCCATAGTTTACTTTTGATGAACTCTATAACCATCTGGTTCACGTGATTTCGACAGAGAAGAGTACTGTTGGTCTGTGTGATCAAACGATTCCGCCTCCAGATTTCTTCCTTCAGAAAATTCCTCTTCATCCTCTCGGCATCTCAACAGGGGTGGCGGACTTTTCCGCAACCTCTGAAACTGTCAGCACCTTCGCTTCTACACAGCAGACAATGCACAACTCGAATCTCTTAGACAACATCGCTTGTCCCGAGGCTGCTACAATAATTATTTCGATCCTCTCGGCTCTTATGAGGACAGTGAGTGAATGTCTAATTGGCTTAACCATCGGTTCAGCCACCATCACTGCATTGGTTTTTGTGTGTGGACGTTTTAGACTCCCTCCACGCTCTCACCATCTACCCAGCATATGCCGATCGTCATATTACAGCTCTTCTCGTACCTATACCAATCCAACTTTGGTTTTCAGACAGTCTGTCTCTCCCCAGAGTTTCTCACAGGTCTCATCGACCTACTAGTCATCAGTACTGTCTCTCAGGCAGCCTATGGGACTCCAAAGCTCAGTCAGGATGAAGTTTGCGAGTTGTCCTGGCATCGATTAGATGAGCTACTGTTGAGTTTCCTGAGGACTATCGTTGTGGACAGCTTTTCGTTGCCCCCCACTGCTCACCGACCCGTTCATGTGGTTGATGTAGTACTAGAGGTAGGCGCTTATTATAGTGAAAAGTAGCTGTGGCATCTCTTAGGAATCCAAGCTCACCTTGGCGCTTATTTGTAGGCTGAACACAGTAGCTGCTCTTCAAAGCAACAGCACGAGATTCAGACGATGTTGATGCGAAATCTGATGGAATGTATGCTAGCGAAGGATCTATTGTCAGAGTCATGCCTTCTACTGCCTTCGAGGGGCTATGCTCAACATATTCCTCAGAATATTGCTTACTTTGCCTGTCGGTTGGTGGATAAACTCTGGCAGGTATGTTTGTTAGTAGCTTTTCCCTTTGCCATGGAGAGACCCTCCATCCATGATCATTTATTGTTAGGTTTGGCAAATTTTGGGCATTTTTTAAATTTTGATCAAACTCTGAAAGTCTTGGCTTTTTGCATCCAATACAGTCTTTTGATGCACTTATTTAATCTGTTCTTTTATCAATTGTTTGGTGAGTTCTACCGTTATTTCTGCGCTCTTTACCGCCATCATTAAACTTCCCTCATCACCATAAAACTGATTCACATCTTTTTGTAGACGCTTACTTCACCTTAAGGTGTCTTTATTAAAGTCATTTCGCCAAGTCTTCATATAACTCAGTAGTTTTTTGCCAAACCGACTAGCTCAACAATACAAAGTGGGGAAATAGAAATGAAAAAACCCCCATGAGATAGGAATATGTATAGCTTGCGGTATAGGTTTGCCACCGGGACCGCAAACGTACATTAGCTATTACAGTCCGAATACTTTATTGTTCCAATATTGTGCTGCTCAAAAATGGATAGGGATAAACAGTAACTCAAATTAATCTTCATTCATATTTATTTATTTATTTGTTTTTAAAACTGCCAGTCTAATTGCGATACGGTTTGCTGTAGCTGGTGTTCATAAATGGACAAAAAACTCGTGCCACATGTTTGTGACTTTGATTGCTTATATGCTAACATTACATTAAACCTACGAAATTCAACGAAAGTCTTTTAACCAGATTGCATTGTCATACAATGCATATGTGAAAAGAGCGTTATAATGTAAGAAGGGGATATTAAAAGCACCGTACACTACTTCATGAGTCGGTGACTATATCTTCCAATCAACAATGAAGGGTTGCCCGTTAAAGCCGATATCACCTTTGATATGCTGATATGAATTTAAGATCTCCTACCCTCTACGTTACACTTTTTTTCTCGAAAATGACCTTGCCGGTGGGCTTTAGCGAGTTCCTTGTGCTGTCGTGCATGCTAGTGGTCCCCTCAACAAAAATTTGGAGAGCTGAATGTCATAGAGGTTGCATGGGAGAGATGGTCTTAACCAGGCACATGGGATCTTCCGTGAACAAGTTTCTTGGCCAATAACTTTACAGTCATCTCTTACACCTGAATATGTATTGCTGCACTGGTACCAAAAAACTTGTGCCAAAAAAGTTGGGAGGTATGACATGACTTCCGTTGCCCACAATCCCTAGGATTATCTCAGAAATAGGAACTTTGATATGTATGTCTTGATGTTTTTGGCTTTATCTGGAAGTCTATAGTGTTTACACAGAATAGAAATCCTTTGTGTACAGAATGCGGTGGATGCATCGCCGTTTAAGAAACACAATTTGGCAGTTACGATGAGAAGAGCCGTATGTCTTTATGGTTTTGTAGGCAAAGGAACCATCATTTAACTTGAACATGAATCCTTCATTATTTTGCAAAACAACAGAAGTAGTTTACATACTTCTTCCAAAATTGTGAAGTAGTTCCTGTTTACTAAATTCACGTATTTCACTTTGTCTAGTCACTTCTGATATCTTCTAGTAGGAATGTCATTTATGTTTTCTCTTTCTCTTTAAACTTTTTTATCTCATGGGTAAGTTAACTTAAAAAATGAAGGTTTCAACTTTCCAGATAAAACTGCTTTACAATTTCCTTGTTTTTACCTTTTTTAAACAGGGCTGTTTTCTTGGTTCTATCAGCGAGATAATTGACTTCATTACCCAGCTCATCCAAATGCTTGAACAGCATCTACTGACCACTCTGCGATCTACATCTTCACCACGCCACTATCCATTCACTCAATCTGCATCTACTTCACCTCCATCTCCGGCAGATCCGAGTCTAGCACTCTCCCGTGCCTCTCTCTACCGCAGTCTAAATCGCTCCGTCCTCTTCCAGCTTTCACGTCCCGTGCTCAAACAGAGGGATCAAAAACTAGCAATCTCCATGCTTCAAATTCTGCTCTCTGATGACAGTCCTCTGAATTCCTTCATTTTTTCCTCCTTCAACTCCGCGGATACCGAGTTTCCGGTGTGTCTAGCTCACCTACTTATCCAACACGTTCAGAGGAATCACCAAGGTTGGGTGAATTTAGACCTTCAGGAGTCTTCTAGTGCTGGCATAGCAGTGCAGAGTGAGATGCAGGAATTGGAGACGCCTGACTCAGTGCTCTACAGGACGGCTTTTGATACAGAGGACTTTGAAACAGACGATGATGAGGAGAAGGCTCTCTTGGGTAGCTCCCCTCCACGACAGTCCCAGGGGCAGCGACAAGAACAAGAAGTTGAGGAGCAGGAAGACTTGCCAGCACAGCAGGAGGAATTTGAGCAGTTAGCAACTCTGGCTCTAAAACTATGGGAGCACTGTTATATATGGAATCAGAAGGTGCTTTCATTTTTACGGCTTCGTTTCCACTTATTTCGAATGCTATTCACTTGACTGAAATCGCCAGAAATACTTCAGTAATACAGAAGTTTTGTCTTGTCTGCAAGGCTCTTGCAATTTTAATTTCCGTTTTGAAAACTTACCTCACTCACAAATCGCTTGTAATACTCAAAGCCTTTTTGATTTAGGGTACCTATGTTGATGTACGCAAGATTCTTTGGCTGAGCAGATATTTGTGCAGCGGTGTTTAGGAATGAAATAGACCTTCCCGGCAGCGTCTTGACGAACTTCGCATCATTATCACGTAATAAACGGGATTCCATCTCTTAGGAGTTCCATTTAAACAACCTGTCTTCAACATATCTTTAACATAACATTGACGGAGCGCGAATTCGGATTTCTGCATGGTTCTTAGTTTGATGTCTAAAGTCATTTCGGAGCAATCGGCATAAATTGTGATCTATCACTCTCCTTATCAATCATACAATGCGGCTCAAATAACTGGTTTATTTCTTTTTGTGCAGTAGTTAATACGTTTAGAGCGCACGGAAACTTCTGCATGGGCACCCATTTTTCCGTTTTATTTGGCATATGAATAAACAATCTCTATTCCAGATGCGGCTCTTTTATTATTTGTTCCTTCCATCATGAGTCGATAACTTTGGCGTTTTACCCTTCCATCTATCGCATTTCCACTTTCTTCACATTTTCCACTATTGGTTTTACTTAATGCAGCAAAATAGTGCCCACGCTTACAGGTTAAACAATTTAAACGAGGAGACATGAAAACCTTAACTGTTTCCGTAAGGAATGTTAAGAGAATTAGTGTCGTGTTTTTCACGCTTTTTTTCTCAAAGGTCCCGCATTACCCCAGAGCCCAAGTTTCCGTTGACGGGGCGTACTAGGGACACATGCAACATGACCGGGGTTTTGACTGAAGTCTTAGCTTCCACGACAGCGATAATTGACAAGTCTCATCACCTCTGTACTACTTGGATTGTCATTCAGTTCTACTATATTTTAGCCCGCTAACAAGGAACATTCTTTCCTCCAGGTTTTTGTAGCCCTCCTTCCAAATTCTCCGCTGTCTCAGCTGGCTGGAATCCCCTCTTTACTTGAATGGTCCGCCGTTCTGGAAGGACCCTGTATCATGAAATGGACAACGTACGTCGATGCAGAGGCCACAGGTTGCGGTGGCATTGTCTCTCAAAACGCCGCAACTACTCCCACATCCCAGTGGGGCCTTCTCTCTATGTATGGTCCCTCCACAATCGAGCGTCAACTCGAGTCGACCAACAACAAGGTCACGGGTGCCGACCAACCATCCTCCACCCCTCCCAAACCTCCCATTAAAGGGTTCTCCCACCAACTATCCAAGAAGCTCGGCCGAATGAGCGCCAGTGTCCTGCGAATGGCATCTAACTCCGCTGTTGGTAGTGGTGGTGGTGGCGCACCCACGATGGTCGGTGAAGTTAGCTCTGCCAGATCCGTAGAGTCGCGAAGAAGTGGGCGTCAATTCAGCCTTGTAGAATCTGTCGATGTCTCCGGTTCAATGACCACGGGTAGTACCAGTGGCAGCGGTGATGCCGATTGGGTGCTTGTACCGAGAGTCCCTATTGGTCTACCGCTCTTGACCAAGAAATCGACTACCCTATCTACCTTGAAGGTATGGCCTTTCGATCTGTTAACTTGTGGCTATTTCGTCGTCCTAACTTGCATCTTCTTTTCAGCGTATCAGCATGCAGGTGGAGAGTCCTCTAACGCTGGTAACTGAGTCCTTAGAGTGGAGTAAACAAAGTCAAGAGAGAGTGAGTTACCTCAATTGTTACATGATAAAAAAAAACACGTTTTTGATGTTTTCATTTATTTTCCGCCGCAGGATACATCGTTTCTCTGGCGCGAAGTAGAGATTGAGTGGAATAAAATGGAGGATAATCTTACCCAAGAGCGCTCGATTTGGGGCCCAATGTGCGCCGATGAAGATGTGGTGAAGTGGGAGCTGGATCCCACTGAGGGACCCTGTCGAATGCGAAAGAGAATGCTACCAAATCCTAACTTTTACCGACACTATCCAACCATCAGTAGAACCACTCATGCTGTGAATGAAGAGGTAAACGCTTCTTCAGCTAATGAGGTAATTCAGCGGTTCGAATATAAATGTGATCAAGAAATGTCGAAGAATACATCAGTGATCTGTGATTATCGAGAATAGGGAGCGTGAGAATCTCATTGCGTCAGTCCACAATTTACTTGAAGCCAGTAATTAACGGGAATATGGCGACTTTTTGCACTATAGAACGATAAATTTTCAAGAATATGAATAATTAAAGTATGGGAAATGGCAATATTGAGGTTTTTGTCCTCATTATCTTCCGGCAGATAAAAACTATTATGATAGATAGTTTTTGAGAACAGGAACAACCTATCTTCATCGAATAACGAGGCACCTGGCCAATCAAATGTCAACATAAATAATTGGTGTCCGTAATGAATGGATGTCAATTTTGTTAAATAACGTAGTGTTTCTTCCCAGGAGATGGACTAATTTTGTCTAAAATTATTGGAAAATTGTTAGCGAAATGCATTATTTGTGCTCGGTTTTGGTTGTTAAGCTCACCAAAATGTGGTCCTGCCAAACTTTCTTCCTGTCTCCTGAAGTACACTTGCGAAGCCTTTGTTCTTCCCTTTCACTGTTACTAATTTAAAATGGTGGTCAGTTTGATTATTTCAAATCGAAATGGTAAGAAAAAGCTACACATCATAAGATAGCATCGAAATGAAGCCCTTGAATTAGCGGTCGTCGAATGTTAAACCAAAATACCTGGACAGAGATGTTTGTCTCAGTGCATTCGTTTCCACCCTGAATTTTCTTTCACTGACGTCGTTAATCCCGGAAATTTGTCAAAGCATAATGGATTTGTGGTAACAAAACAAACCAAAGTTATTATTCGTGTTCAGTGTTAAAAGTGGGAGATTTTCGAAAACCGTTCATCCTATGTAAAATTGGCTAAAACCATTCACTTGAAGTGAAAACTGTAAAGCTAACATTTGTGGTTTTCAATTGGGCAGGGACCCTAGTACCTTAGCGCAAAAAATCCTTTTTATTTGCTAGCAAGTTTCCGTATAGTAGACTCCGTTTTAGCTGGCCCTTTCATGGCTTCTTATGTCCATCATTGGTTTCAATCGTCTATGAAACTTGGAAATCGCGGGGAACCACACGCTTTACAAAGTACCTGAGCAAGCTTATTTAAGAGTAGAATATGTGGTTTTGGTGACATTCGCATCAAACTGAAAGTAAATGTTGTCACTTTTCACGCCTGTAATTTAAGATAATTTTTAGTGTTTTTCTGTGTGAATAGTGCATTATGCGTTTGCGTTTCTGCATTTTCTAAGAAAAATGCCAAATCTGTTAAACAGCCAGCACTCTTCAGCATAATCCAAACTCCCAAACTTATGCTGTCCTATCCACAACTTGCCGTGATAATATTGGATTTGATGGCCAGTCCTCACTGCTTATTGATTACAGGTGCAAATAATCTAGCTGTTATTCATTTGTTCACTCTATTGCCGTACTTTCAGGAGAGTGGGAGTACCCAGACTCCCGCAACCACAAGGAAACGCAGTTATATTGCACCCCAGAGCCTAGGAGCACGATTTCGCTACCGTAGAAGACGACTCTTGCGAGGTCCTGAAGCTCCGAAGAAGGTGGAAGAGCAGGAGGCGGCTGTGGCGGAGGCACCGCCGAGTGACACCATCGATCATAGCGGGGAGAACTTGACCTTTTCTGACATTGCAGAGTCAGAAGGCGAGTTCTTTTTTCCCCTTAGAATATGATAACCCTATTTCTCATACTTTGCAACGCGAGCTCTTCAGTTCGCTATTCCCAATCTATTATGAAGTATAAAGTGTCTGATTTTATCTGAACTTCTTGTAGTCTGTTTTGAGTCTTTTTTATTTTTTAGGTGTTATCATCATTATTTGAAATGCTCATATTGAAGTCCCATATAGGTTGAAATTGATACTATTTTTCACTATAGGAAGCAGTCTGAAAATCATCGCTATTTGCGGTGGATGTGATTAATTGCTGAACATATGAATGGGTGTTTTGGGATTTTGCTCGCATAGGCCATTTCACCCTAGAGGTACCTCTAATGCACTTAAAATGGGCAACGTTGGGAACTTATTAGATTCACTGCAAACTACGTGTTTATCCAGGCTGGTTGACACATTCAATGCTTCAAAGATGTTGGTCGATCTCAGCTGACTCCTTGGACTTCATTGTATAAATTAAGTAAACGATGGGAAAAAATGTTCTATCTATCGCTTTCCGTTTTTTCCCCTTTGCATCATATCATAACTGTCGCATTCGGTGAAAAATAAAATCTTTTAAAAGTCGTAAGCATATCGGTCGAGTTTCACTTCATGAATCGACAGAATAATAAAAGATTTTTATTAACCTTTGCCTTCCTCTGTCTTTTTTTATGGCATAAAGGCAAATAGTCATAAAAGTTGAATGCATAGTTTGATAATGATGAGGGTGCGTGAACAAGAGATAGAAGTTGATCTGCCTAAAGTAGGTGTTGGTCCTCCTGAGAGAGGATGGTCTGGCCGATAAACTTCTTTGAATTGCTGGAATCTGATTTGGAAGTGTGCCCGCCTTCCACTAGATTAGTTGACTAACGTGTCTTCGCAGCTTTAAACCAAACATCCGAAACCGTAAGAATATGTAATTTGTTGCGACCTCCTAGTTTTGTCCTTCCGAATTTTAATACCATAGTGATTGGTAATGTAAGTTAATGGAAGATGATCAGTGAAGTTGAATCGCATATTGTTTAACAATAACTCAGGGACTTCGAAACTTTCATTTTAAATCCAAGAAAGCTAGGTGAAGGCTCTTTTCTCCCTTGATTTCAATGGCTCTTCTGGATTTCCTTCAGACACCCTAATTCGTACCAGCCGCCTCCTCCGCGACAGCAAAAACAATGCCTCTCGCAGTGTAAGTTTCGTGGATTCCAGCAGCGAGGCGCTTTGTGATACCCCAGGTAATTCTGTTGAGGCCGAGTCAGTGGAAGAGGGGGGCGGGGAGGAATGCGGTGAAGCAATCGAAAACTCCTCCACGGAGTCTCTCGACTTGGGATTGGACGACCAAGCAGCTCAACGGCAACCACCACTTACACCTTTGCAGCCACAAAACTCTCAGCACCACCAATCATCCACCGATGGTGCTTCTAGGCAGTCGCTTCCTTCGAAAACAGCTTCTTCGTCCGCTTCTGAGGGTAGTTCCACGGCTCTAGATCAGCTCAACGGTCACATCGCCTTTATGCGTCTCCTAGAGCCGGTTGAATGCCTCTCCGCTATCTACCGTTGCGCACGAATTTGCGGTCTCGATGTGCACGAGGGTCTTCTCCTTTTTGGAAGGAATCACTTTTACGTGATAGATGGCTACACTCTCACGAATACTCATGAGATTGTCAGTATTGAAGCCCTCCCTCCAGGGATGCAACACAAACCGATTGTCCCCACTGGGTCCGATACTGTAGCCGCGGCTGCCATAACGCGCAGACAGGCCCACTCGTCTTCGACTTACGCCTCGGATTTGGTCAGTTCTGGCGCAGTAGATCAAATTTCGGGAAATCAGTGAGTGATTGAATCCGAAAAATGACCCTTCTTAGATTCCATCTTTCTTTTTAACGGTTACCTTGTGGATTTTAGATATTTCAAGTTTGCGTACGACAAGATTCGCGAGGTGCATCGTCGTCGCTATCTCCTACAACAGACTGCACTGGAAGTGTTCAATGCCGATGGTCGTAACTTCTTTCTGGTGTTTGCTAAGGACTTCCAAAGCAAGGTCTACGAATGGTTAGACGATGGCAATTAATTGTATTGTGGACATATGTTTAATTGCTACTGACTCCACCAAAAATTTTGAGAGGTATCAGTTTAGCGTGTTTTCCTATAACTAAACCAAGCTTTGAAGACAGGAAGTCCGTGGCGTTCCCTTTACCTTTTCGCAGGTAAGATTTTTTATGGATTTCCATTTTTACCATAGTTTTACGGCGGCCTCCTCAGTCATCAACACAAATCGTTTCGCCTCTCTCCACTCGGCTCGAACGTATGTTATTTTCTCTTTTAAAACACCTCCTTTCCGTTTTGGGCACGTTGTAACTAGCGTTTTCGGTTGCCCATTTGCGTTTAGAACAGTTTATTGGAAGTTGAACTTTCTTGCCAAGTTGTTTTTGCTCTTAATTGTTCAATTCGTCCGAACATTAAAGCCCTCAATTTACTTACTTTGTTATTACGTTCAGTGTTTGTATTTTTTTTTAGGAATTCACATTTGTTGAGTAGTTTGCTTGGGGAAAAGACGGTTACTCAACGTTGGGTGGTATGCTTTTGTCTTGTTCAATTTCCTAACTTCATCTTTTAATCTTAGCCATGGTCTACCGCAATCTATTCGAAGTTGATTTATCACATCCTTGCGTACAAAGTCATGACTTTTTCGTCATAGTTCTAACTGATTCTCTATCCTTGTAGCGCGGTGATATTAGCAATTTCCAGTACCTGATGTACCTCAACACTCAGGCAGGTCGCTCCTACAATGACCTAATGCAGTACCCCGTATTCCCCTGGGTGCTGGCTGACTACACCTCTCTCCACCTCGACCTCTCTCGTCCCACCACCTTCCGTGACTTCACTAAACCTATGGGCGCCCAGACGTTGGGCCGGCTGGCTCAGTTCCAGCGCCGCTTCCGGGAGTGGGAGGACCCCTCTGGCGAGACACCTCCCTACCACTATGGCACGCACTACTCCTCTGCCATGATTGTCGCCTCCTACCTCGTGCGCATGGAACCTTTCGCGCAACACTTTATTAAACTTCAGGTTAGCTTTTGCGTAGTGATTAGGCTTTCTAGCGACTAACGTAGTAACATTCTGAGTAGAAAATGATGTATACTTCATTTGGTTCATTTGCGTTTCAACAGAACTAATTTCAGAAATTTTGACAGCGGCAGATGGCTTCAACTTGTAGATCAGCTGGTGTGTCAGTGCCGTGTGTTAAACGAGCAGTAAAATGGTGCAATAAACAACAGTTTTACCACTTTACTTACCGTTTGGACGAATACTTCCTGGAATCATTTTGTTATGATGGTAGGTAGTTTGCAAATTTATGCCGGCTTGCACGTTATATGTTGACGCAGCACAACCATTAGTGTCAGCAACAGTAGTATTACGACTCTTACTTGAATGAACCGTGAATTCAAATTGTAGTGCATCTGGGCTAAAAGTGGTGATTATATTCTTGCTTCTGCGTTGAGTTATAATAGATCATTCCCTCAACTTTCCAGTCACAGTAATGGATGGGTTGATTTTATCAAACTACTGATCAGGTTAGCTGGCTCCAAACATTCAACGGGACGGCCACTTTAAAAAACCGAGTTCAACAAAAGATTCAACATAGTCGTGGTGCTACTGGATGGAAGTAGGTTTCAAAATTATTTTTCAGGGCGATTGTTTCGCCGTTGTCTTTAAATTCCCCCGTATCGCATAAATTGGCGCCTTTAAACATGGATTGTTAGATTTCGAAGGTGATCTTTTTTGTATGGTCTTGTTTCATGCACATAACAATATATTCCAGTTCGTTTGTTCGTCTGTTCTACCACCGAGTAATTTTCTATGGCCCGTGAGCGGTGGATGGTAGAATCACAAAAGTTGACATCCGGTATACTCGATTGGTTATGTCTCGTGAACTCTTTGAATCCTTCAAACTGCGTCTGTTTCTGCAGGTGAATTCATTAGAAATGAGTCCGAAATTTAAGTCATATGGGAGAAGGTAGCCACAGTTTGAGATGCTTATCTAAAATTTTAAAACAAGGGCAAATGAAATGCTTGTTTTATAAGCTGCTGAGAATGCGGCGCGACTTCTTGGCAGGTTCAGTCATCCATATAAGGCACCTCCCCTCAGATTTTAGCGCAAGATACGGTTGAGAAAATTGAGACTGTTGTTCTTTTGATTGCGTTTACCAAATTTTTCATTAATGCTGCACTTGAGTCGCCTTTCAAGAGGGTATGAGGAATAGTCATTCGTAAAAAGTTCAGCTTTTTACTTAAAACGAAACTCGAGACTTAAGTAGTATAATTAGTTGGCAACTGAGAGGTATTGTGAAGTCAAACACACAACTGAGACAAATATCACTTGGTCACCATTCCCATTGTTGCTGACTTTTCAGGGTGGCCATTTCGACTTGCCAGATCGGATGTTTCACAGCGTGGAGGAGGCCTGGCTGAGCGCCAGCCAGCATAACATGGCCGACGTACGCGAGCTCATTCCCGAGTTCTTCTACCTACCCGACTTCCTGGTCAACTCGAACCACTTTGATTTTGGATGCAAGCAGAGTGGTATTCGGGTGGACAATGTTTTGCTGCCGCCCTGGGCTAAGGGTGATCCGCGCGAGTTCATTCGACAGCATCGTGAGGTCGGTTATTGTGATTTTTTAATAGCTTTTTTAAAGTGGCATTACCCATTCACAATCCATCTGTTCCAATTTCACATATTTCCGTCTCTTTGCCTTTTTGACTGGAATCGTATGCAAAGCAAATAGAGCAATTCTACGTTGACATACATCCACGCTATCATTTCCATAAATTTTTACTTTGTCTGGATCAATTTCATATCATCTTGTCGATATTCACTGACTAACTAATAAGCATCGTGTAGACTTAATGAGTCCGAAAGCATTTATGCCATCAACTCGAATGTAATTTTTAGTATTTGGCTAAGTGATTTTTTTTAGCTTGCTTACGCCTTTCTAAAGGAAATAAGTCTGCTTTCTGCATAGTCCCTTCTCCTCTATTCAAGTAACTTCGTTCAGAGTTTTTCCGTTTGTTCCACTTAGATTTCAATAAGGGTTTGAATAGTTTGCTGTCATTTAGATAAACTGTTACTTTACCTGCACCATATTATATGGCCTCAATGTTGACGTCTTCCACTTATATGAATGTTATCGATAGATCCTCATCTTATCCATGAGAGTTGCAAACTGTTTCTGATTTGATGAGTTATTTTTTTAATGTACAGATCTGTCAATTACTTTACTATGTTGTCTGACGCAGCCTGAAAATAAGTCTATGCTATGTTACCATCTGATTGGTGATCTAGATCCTAAGGGTAGGCAGGGCAACCGATTCCGTTTAGTCATGACTGTATTACCTGATTTTGACATTTGATATTTGCATTTAACAGGCCCTGGAGAGTGAATACGTTTCTGCTAACCTGCATCATTGGATAGATCTCATCTTTGGCTACAAACAGCGTGGAGAGCCGGCGGTGCAAGCAGTCAACGTTTTCCATCACCTCTTTTACGAGGGGAATGTGGACATCTACGCCATTGACGACCCCGTGAAGCGTCGTGCCGTGGTTGGCTTCATCAATAACTTTGGCCAAATTCCACGTCAAATTTTCCGCAAACCTCATCCAGCCAAGAAAATGGTCGCCTTTCCACCTCTTTCACATCCCACCATTCTTATTCCCGCTGGTAGTGGGAATGGCGTTGGTTCTCTTCCCGATTCAAGGACTAACATACCTCCAGCTTCGTCCGCCTTCTTCTTTCACAATTTGGAAAGCTTAAAGCCAAGTTTGGGTGCCGTTAGGGGTACGTTGTCAAGACTTTGTCTTGCTTATCCTTCAATTTAATTAGTTTGTTTTTGTGTTCAACAACGGCATCTCTAGCCCAAATTTTTATCATATTAACGAAGGTTACGATTTTTGTTGTTTTCTCCTACAGAAAGTCGTTGGCTAAAAATTTGTACTATGTTGGGATCCTTTTCCGGGACGTAACCTATGAATCCCTTTTGTTAAGGCTTTAAGTGGTTCCAAGCGATACCATTGGAGTAAAGTAATGCAATTACAAAGACAAATTGACAAAGATCTAATAAAATACCGCCTTTAAATCGTTGCCAAATTGATATTAAATATCACGAATTGGGAGATCTGCTAGGCAGCATGATTCTAGTAAGGAATGGCCAGGAGACCATTAGGTAGTTGTTACAGCCAGACCTGTTCAAGATAATCGTAGGGTTTGTAACTAGGAGGGCTAAAGGATTACTTAATAGGAGTAAACCAACTATTCATGTGTGGCAGTTGCTACTCCTTTACTAACATTCGTCTCGAACAACTTTTTTTTGGGAATGGTGGTAAATATATTTTTCTGTTATCCCCAAACGTCTTCGTCCCTTCCTAGGCAAGTAAATCATTCTTAGAGCCTTGTTTAGGATTGAGAATCCAAAAAATACTTTAGCTGATGCTTGTGCGAGGATCCTTTAAGTAATGAGTCTAGCAACATTCATTATCATGGAAACTGTTGCTACCTGTCAACAGATGTATTGCAAGTTAATTACTTTTTAATTGCGAAATCAGCGTTAGGATTGTTTTTGAAAGAAAGGAAAAAAGTCAATGGCAAGAGTCAGAAGGTAACACAAACACAAACGAATATGTTCTAACGGCCTATGTGCTTAATTCACTATTCCCGGTACTTGCTGTTTAACAGCAACTAGAGTGCTGTAACTTCGTGGTGATGTAGATTCTCAGGTAGCATCTCTCACTTTAATTAGGCGGTTCTTAATGACCTAGTGTGTCTCTTTTATTCCTCTGTCGGCTCAGTATTTTTCATCCCCACGTATGTATGTGTTCTTCACCAATAATGAGTAGCACATCCGCATTCACCATGACAAAAGAACCAATTCTGTAACTGATAGCTGTTATTCCTCTTCCTCTTCTCCAGAACTACGTCACGCCGTAGGACAGATCCTTCAACTGGAGCCGGGCAACCTGAAGGGCTTCTCCTTTAGCAGTGGCAGTGGTCTTAGCAGTGCCTCTCAGTTTGCCTCTGGGGGCCTCTCGACTCTCATTCTTCCACCCAGTGGACTCTTCGGAATTGGTGGTGGTGGTGCTGTTAGTGGAGGTGGCAATGGTGGTGGCAGCGGTTCTAGTGGAGACTCATCGGGATCCAGTGGTGTAGCGGCTGGACCTATTGTCGTGGTCGAACAGAATATGGTCAGCGTCAAACTATTGGAGATAAAACGTCATCAGGAAAATGGTAGAAGTTAGGGAAAAACTAAAATGACTCTCAAACCAATAGAGTATTCGTAGGTTTAAGGAATTGACACAAAAGCTGAAGAGGTTAGTGCTGGTTTGTACACTAGAACCTATTAGTTTTAAAATCGGGCTGCTTCCCGAACGAAACTAAGCGCAATGGATTGAAAAAAATTTTCTTGACAAGTTTGAAGGGAGATTTCAAATCCCCAGTAGCCGCTTTTCATGGCCTCTTGTATGAGATTCGAGCCTTCTTTTCTTCACCTCAATACAGGTCCTGCTGCCACCAAACTTCACTCGTTACCTGGCCTGGGGCTACCCGGATGATAGCTTTCGCATCTGCAGCCTCCTCGGTGACAAAGTGTTGCAGGTCTTCGAGATGGTTAACTCCAGCCAGGTTCTCTGTGCTGCTGCTCCCAACGCCTCCACCATTGTCACCGCTGGCATGTCCGGAGTCGTCAAAGTGTGGCAGGTGGGTCTCAACGCCCTTATCTCCTCTATCAATCTAGTGGAGGGTTTTAGTTTTTCAGATTCTTAAGGATTTCATTAATCTCTTCAATTTAGTGTGAATATTTTGACCAATGAGCGACTTCTTTCTAATTAAAAAATTGACAGTTATTTGACCGTGTATTTTTTACCGCATCAAGGTTAGTTTCAGTACTTTCGCTTTTGGATAAGTCTTTAAACTTAATGCCACTAGTTGATTGCTCAGACTTTTCTAAAGCATCTGATGCGTTGTAGAATAGGCTTTTAAAGGGCTACAGCTTTGAAATTCTTATAAAACTCCAGCTGAGTCACAGAAAATTCCTGTAAATGTTGCATGTAGATTCTTGAATTAGGGCACTGGAGCACTGACGACCCCGAATGTCACAGAGATCCGGATGTTCAGTGAGTGCATCGTTTGTTGGCAGTGATTTAGGTAGGAAATTTCAGTCAGTCTGTCTCAATCTTGAGTACATACCAACAATGTGAGACATTTGAGCTAAGACTAGGGAGGATTATTATGTCAAAAGCACCTACGGAACACAAGCTGCGTTATTATGAATTTTTTGTTTTCTTAAACCGAATTCGCGTACTAGAAATTGCCATATATGTTTACCTTACATATGGTCATGTTATTTTATCGAAATAGAGCTTTCATTATCCGTATTTAGGCAACGTTTGAATTTTCAATTTTTTCTACTTTCAGCTACGCAGCCCTAACGAAGAGCAGGGCAAACCCTTCTGCCCCTCTGACTGGAACGTCTCTGTCGAGGGGCACGGTCCCGGGGTTGTGTTTGGCACCACCGCGAGCAGTCTTCAGCTGACCGGGTGTCTCTACGGTCACACCGATGTGGTCACCTGCCTCGCAGCCTCGGACAGTTTTAATCTTATTGTCAGTGGGGGCCGTGACTGTACCTGCATTGTCTGGGACCTGCGCTATCTTATCTTCCTTCGCCAACTCGGCACTAGTAGCGGTGGCACCGCCTACAAGGCGCCCGTGGCTGCTGTCTGCATTAGCGAGGCCACCGGCGACATCGCGGTGTGCGCTGGCGCCTGGCTCTACCTGTGGAGTATCACTGGAGACTTGGTTGCGTGTCTCAATACTGCACCAGACCAGAGCAATCAGATCTACTGCGTTGCTATGAGCACTGTAAGCAATTTAGGGTTGCATTACCGATAACTTATGTTGTGGGCTGCATTATATCTTGAGGATTCGAGATAATTGCGTATAAAACTGCTGGATTGTTCTTACGAAAACGGCTTTATAAGTGAGAAAGGCAATGCACCTGAGAGATGCTTAGCCGCTCATATGCAATTGAATTAAAAACTGAAGTAACTTGATGCAAGTTACAAATTTATGCTCAATACTGTGTAATTACTCGCCTTTTTTAGCTTCGAGACTGGGACCCCGGTCACGTGGTCGTTACCGGGGGCTCAGACGGTTTTGTACGAATGTGGGGCTTGGACTACGTCTGTGAGGAGTCGCCTGATAGCACCACCTCGAAGGTATGGCACGCGTAATTTCAAAAACAGCCTTCATGGCGATTCTTTATGCTTTTTGTTATGCCCATTTCAGATTCCCTGTCCGTCTCTTACTTCCTCGAATGATTACGGTGAGTAGAATCCCCCTTTGTTTTTGGCTGATGAAGTTTGTGATTGATTTTTTGAGAATTTTACAGCCTGAAAATGTAAGTCCCAAAGGTTTAAGACAACGCAGGTAATTAGGTCATTCGATCTAGTTGTTTAAGTCTGACTAAGCAGTAAAAGTACTTACTCATCTGAAAGCCTTGTAAATAAACACTATAACTTCAAGGTGTAGGAGTATAACAAGGAGCTACTACTTTTCTTATCGCTGACCTAATGGTCAGATGCAGCCGAATTTGCAGTTTCTTAAGTAAAGCAAAGTAAAGTAGTTTACTGATCTTTGTCGGTTGTGGAAAAGTGACCGCTCATTTAATATGCTTCCAAAAAACAGGTAACCCTTCATAGTTCAGGTTAGCCTACGGTTAGTTCAAGGTGTTCAATTTCAAATAACTACTTGTTTAATCCTTGAAAGTTTACACATTTTATTCAAATACAAATGTTATTTGTTTAACCCCGTATCAATGTAAAGGTACCCACGAATACGCTTACCCTTGGTGCGCTCCACATGGTGATCCACTTTTATTTGCCACCGTAAAAAATTGTCTACTGATAGTTTTTTTCGACGATAGTAAATCCCCTTCCTCTGTATTGGGGACTGAAATGGAAGAGTTTAAGGCATTTCCTCTTTAAATGGAAAACTGCTTTTAGAATCCATTTTTTGCCTCAAGCCCCAAAGATTCTTTCCCAAATAATTCAACCGAGGCGGTGCACCTGTCGGTGGTAGGATGGTATCATATCAATTGGTAACTTATCCAAAGTTTTCAACGGCGTTTGATCATGTGCATTTTATTTTACTTTTCCACAGAAGGCTAAAAGGCCTTACAAGGTTTCACCCACGAGAGATATGGCATTTATTTATATCCACTCCGTAGTTCATACTGTAGTTGGAATAAGAGACCTTTAATTCAAGTAGCGCGTCGATAGTTTGCATCTTGCAAAAGTTTGGCCTCAAATGGCTGATGGATTGTTTCTTTCTTGAAATTTAGATCTTGATTCATTCTATAAATTTCATTTCTTCAAGCAGCTCAGATGAAGTGGCGACGCCAACTGACCCTGAGGGCCCACCTCACCGTGCACACCGCCTTCGATCGATCTGACACGGCACCATTGCCGCTCATGGCTCTAGCCATCTCTCGCGACCATCGCTCTGTTCTCGTCGGTGACGCCAAAGGCCGCGTTTTCGCCTGGTCCGTGCCTGGTGGTGGAAGTGGTGGCATTGGCTCTGATGCTATATCCGCCACTACCACTGGTGCCCAATTCAGTGAAGATGGATCGGTAGGGGTGTGTGCCGCACCCGCCTGTGGGACGCGATTCTCGCTGACGGAGCGAAAACACCACTGTCGCAATTGTGGCAAGGCCTTTTGCTCAAGGTTAGCATTGTCCTTCCGCGAAAATGAAGTGGGAAGTGTCTAATTCGACCATTTTTGGTGATTTAGCAATTCATGGCTGATTTATTACGGTTCAAGTTCGTGTATTTAGTCCCCAGATCTGTCGTGTTTTGAAATAACCTCTCGCGTAGGGATCTGTACACTCTTTGCATTGTGGAATCCATGAGGGTGTAATGTTTGGGAGTTTTAACCTTGCATGTGGGAAATCTAAACTAGCACCGTCATCAAAAATGATGGGCCAGCATGTGGCAGTAAATTTTGGTGATTGACTAGCGTCTGCCACATGAAGTAAGTCGGTCTCAAGAACTAACGCGTCGTATTTTCGTAACTGATAGGGAGGGGATCACTACTTTAAGCGTAGGGCACGGTGACTGGGGGAGTATGAGCTTGGCCATTCCCCAACAGTGAAGGTGGACAAGACTAACTAATTAATGGATCACCAAGTAGACGCAGTATACGATTTTAGTGTTGTAGATAGAGCTAAATGGTAAAGGTAGGAATTTTTTACGAAATAAATGACTTACTTAATCAATCGGTCTGAGTAATGATTGTATTAGGTAGCGATTCCTCACAGATGCCATCCCTAGGCACCGAACGACCTATTGCGAGCTGTAGGACAAGCTATGATATGTGTCTCACATCGCTACTTTATCACCATTTAGCAGTCATTCGGGTTTTCTTGCTGCTTGGCGGTGTCAATAAAAGAAGGAAAAAATCGCAGGTACTGTCTTACATTCAGGCTATCCATTTGCACCACATCTTAGTTACGCCCCAACAGTAAAACGTTTCTTTATCTTTTTACGGAAAAGTGTAAGTTTTGGGGTGGGGATTATCTTTGTTTAAATCGCTTATTCTGGCTATTCAGACTTATTGGATTGCTATCAAGTTGGTTGTACAATTACCCCTGTTTCGACGGTCACAATGTCTCCTTTTATCCCAGTGGTGATTGTTTGCTCTATAAATAAGAACATTCACCTCAGCTTCTTCCTGAGCTGCTTGGAGTTTACTAATTACCCTGCAATTAAATTGTCGCTGAAGTTATTTTTAGTAACTGGGGCATGACTTAACTTCCAATATTGAAATTAATTGCCATCAATTAACACATTTTCTCAAACGAAAAGTTCCTAAATTTGATACGATTCGCTAAAACGGTTGCATTTTTTTCCTACTTTCTGCTCCTTAGGTGCAGTCGTTTTGAAAGCGAAATCCACCCCCTCCGCATATTCCGACCAGTCCGGGTTTGCACTGATTGCTACGCCCTCCTGGCTGAACAACAAGGCCCGACAGGTCCGTGAGGAAGAATCGATATAACGATACTTCTTTGTACATTTTTTCCTCTCTCTCCCTCCCTGTACATTTCCACCCTTCACATGATCAAGGACAACCACCCTACTGAATTATTTTATAAGTAGGCGTGTTCACGTGTTAATTAATTGGATATTCACCCCGTTTCTGCTGTAAAAGTCTACTTTCTCAATGTGATAGTGCAAAGCTCTCGCTATGACTTCTCGTTTCAAATCGATTTATTTCTTCCTTCTATTCTGCTCTTTTTCTTTAAACCTATTTTTCCTTTTAAATTGACTCATTGCCGTCGCTTACTTGTCTGTTACTAAGTTTACCTTTGATCAAAATGAAGATAACAACGGTCAACCTGTTAAATGAAATAAAAACTTTCTTCAAGACATTGTGTTAAAATTTTGCGGTTCTTGAATGATTGTAAAATCTGTTTCAATGTTAAACAGAAGAAGGGGTGTTTTTACTTTGGAAAATTTCGAGACGATTTTAAATCAAATGTCTTCACCATCGCTGCCTCGTATCTAAAAAATGGATGAAAAAGTCATGCGAACTGTCACCCAGATTGATGCGTCAAGTTGTGCATGGGTAGTACCTTCTGGTCCTGCTTATTTGACCTTCAATGGGAAACTTCCAGACCATGCTCTCCGTCTGTGTCCCACCACACATACACACATCAATTACAGTCTCCTGGGTATGAAGTGGTGCGTGCCTTAGAGGTTGTGGGATGATCAGTGAATCGTTTGGGGTTTGTAGTGTTTTTGTTTTTGCTTAGCGGCCACACAAACAAACAACTTACAAATGGCACGTTTTATAACGCAATTGAAGGAAGTAAAGACCAAGTGGATTGTCTTTGAAGCCTACTGGCCCCCACTGGTTAATGCATAGCATGTGAAACCAATTTCTTCAGCAATTAACATTGACTTTCTTAGGTGGTGTAGGTGTAATTGAATCGCCTCACTATCACTAAAAGTCATTGACACCCTAATCTCGATGCCTAATTCTTCATGATCAAGAAGAGAGGGGTCGCCTTCAATAGGATGCATCTAACCTGATGTCAACTATCCTTTGGCGGTACGACCTGCTGCCACACCTTTTCCAAATGTTACGCAGGCTTTATGAGAATCTTCTACAGCTTTGATGAGGTGTTTGAGTTCGCAAAGCAGACAGCCCTGGACTCACATCAGGTTCCACCGACACTATGATATGATTGTTTAAAATGGGAAGTATGGGTCTTATTGTAGAACCATTACAATAACGTCTCGAAATACGACAAGCTCTTGTTTATAGCATTAACAATTGCAATTTGGTTCCAATAACTTTACTTGAATGGCTGTTCAGAGGCTCAGGGGATCTTAATTCTACGTGATCGACCCTAATAGCCATGAATATCCACTTACCGTAGCATGGATTTCTGACATATCCCCTGCCAATACAACTTGCTAGAGCAGTATGAGCGTCGTAGATCGAGTCCCTAGAGAATGCACAGTCGCCTTTTTTGCAGAACGGATTTGAGATGAAAGCCAGCTGCATAAAGGGTGCACGTGGGCACTCCTCCTCGTTGGACGCCAGTCCACTGAAGAGGCTCTCCACAATATACCTCTTTACAGCAGTGTTCTACAAAAGCGGTTGGTAAAGTCTAGACGGTGATTCAGGTAGACCAGTTAAAACAACCTCCTTTTGCTTTTCAAAATTTGTGATTTAACCTTTAAAACGGTGGAATGGGGCACTACCACTGCCACCTATGCCGGTAGTTTCCACCTGGACTTGTATTGAAGCTACTTCTAGGCTCTCATCCTATTAATTTTTTAATTGGCTTACTCATTTCAATTTCTTTTTCTCCTTGGTTTTTTGAAATGTGGGCAAGCTTGAAAATCTGTTACGTATGATTATAATCCAATCTATTTGGATAAATCAAACTCCTCCCTTACATCGAAATCACGCATTAATCCTATTCTTAGACAAACGATTTCTTTTGGGACTCAGTTGTAACACAGCGACTTTACACCGTGTTTAATGATAAATTCTGCTACCTGACAATAATCACGCAGATTTTTCAACCACTTTTTATGACGTCCTTTTGACTTCAGCCAGTCCGAAATCATGATATCGGGGTGCCCTTTGCGATGCGATAGTCCCAGTGCCCCCTCCAGGAAGCCGTGCCATCGATGACCTACTTCAAGAAGGAGGATTCGCTCCTGACGGTAGAAGGTAAGAGTAATATCCTGAACTTCATCATGGAGTTGCCAGGAGATAGCAGTTCTTTCCACTGTCAAGTTAGTCCCTCCAACTAATTCAAAAGTGTTTGAGTCGCTCTCACGGCCTTCCTTCTTTATCTATTTATTCATTAAATAGATGATTAAAAACACCGCTGACTATAAAATTCAAGTCAAAAATTGCAATCATTCGGATTTTAAGATTTCCAGTCAACATCAGTCTCTAAAATATCATCTTACCGATCCTTGTTCAGTTACAGTGATGCTTGCATGGTTTTTGTAGTACGTAAATTGCGCTCCGTCTGCACCAAATTCAACAGTAACAGCGATTTCATCCCTTAGTACATCGTAGACCAGGACCAGAACTTCATCTACATTCGCTTCAAAGCTTATCAAGCGTTTGTCAAAGGTAATTATGCGAGATTTGCCCGCTGTATCAAGGAAGAGCCAGGATTTGTCTAACAAAGGAGGAGAAAGCAGTTGCAATTAAGAGTCTTTTAGATTATGATCTGGACAAAGTTGATATAATGCTCACATTTTGAAGGATGCTGGAGTTGTTTGCTAATCAAAGCCACCGTCCTCATTGCTGCCCTGAGTTGGCTTGCAACTACGGCGAGTTCGGATAGCCTCCTTTCTAGGTCATTCTAAAACGGAGTTCTCAAAAATTAAATAAGTTTTGAATGATACTAGAGAATTACATGGCTGTTGTCAAGTCTGGATTTTGAGACACGCTCTATTTTTCTCTCATAACTATGAATAGAAGGTGTGTTTGCCATTGAGAATGTCGTGTGTGTGTGCGCCATACCTCTGTGAGAGGGACGCCCGCAAACCTTGCGGACGCGATGCCAGCGGTAGTTCGAAGCCATAGCGGAAGGAAAGCTGTGGAATTCACTGTAATTTTGCTCAGATTTGTCGTGAAGGTGTTCACATCCACACTGTCATATAGCGAGAAGGGGGTGTAGAAACTTGTGATGAAGGACTCAAGCAAGGGCCGCATCATTCTCTGTCCACATTTCTGCAATAATTAATTAATTAATAATTCCTCTACAAGATACACACCTATTGTTCACCTCCTTAATCTCCGTGCACCAGCGTCTTTTACAACCTACGAAACATGTTTTTGTGGCCTTGTGATGCTTCTCCTAGCTGAACATTGAGCCTCCATTTGGGCTTGTTGCTTTTCATTCAGCTACATTAGCCGGAAAAAAATGGTTTGTATATATTCATATCTTATTGGCTAACTTTGGCTCCGCCCGGGTGAGTTGTGTCCGACGTCTTTTATCTCCCGCAAGCTCTACAACTGCTTCCACCATGACCCTTAAGGAGGCCTAAGGCTGGGATAAAAGGCATAAAAGTGGGTAATATCGCGATTCCTTGACTCTGTTGAAACTCAAAAAGGCCTCCTTGGTTTTTGATTTTGCGGTTACCTTAACTTACTCTGCCTCACTGGTTAATGACGAAGTGCAATTGATACTGAACGAAAGAAATCACCTTTAAAACTTCAAAAAGAGATTACAGGGTGATCAAAATTAAAGTAGAAGGCTCATGAGCTCAGAGTTTTAAACGCCTAGACTATTATAGACAACGGACAGTGGAAGTGAATCATTTGAATCAGCCTCACCTCAGCTTTTGTTGCAGCCGTAATGGGCGTGAAAGTATCCTCATCAACTTAAAGATGCGTTGATAGGTCAAATGTAGTTAAATGACTCAAAATGGAAGTTATAGGGTGTTAATTTACAAGAAGATCGGAATTACTTCTTGTTTCACTCACAAGTACGTTTGAACCACTTTCCTTCACCTCCGAAACGAATGTCGACACACCATCACGCAAATGTTTGACTTCGGTTATATTCTGAGAAAGCTTATCACAGGCATTGTTGAGCGTGTTACAGGCATCCTTAATGACGGATTTCAGGACGTTTAACTTTTTGCTGATTCCAGCTACGAAACTTTCTGTAATAAAAAAAAAGAAATTTTACACAGACTGGGTGGAGTTTCTTAGAGAGAAATGCTTAAAATAATGGCTTACGCATTGTTTTTTGATGAATCCAAAAGCACAATCTGACAACCCTCTTGACACCTTTAGCGCATTTCCGAGCCCAAGTGTCAATGGACTGAAGGACTTTTGTGACCCTCTCAGGGTTGTAGAGCTTGCGAGGATCAAAATTCTGTAAAGTAAATGAGTGTGTAAAAGTTATTTCATAATAGAACGTAGTCTAGCTACATGCACATGGGATATTCTAGCTGGAAAAAGGCACAGTTGACTTGGCATGTTTGACCACCCGTCTATACATCTTTGTCATTAACTCATCTCACCATCTGACTGTATCATTAATTCGTCTGCCTGTTTTCTATGATTTTTGTGCATTGATTCATTCATCCATTCTTTTGCTACTACATCCATTAATCGTCACAGCATTCTAACTGATATTTTGAATAACTATAAAATACTTGCATCAATAAGTCTGCTCATTTGATCAAGGACGCTGATGATCTGATTGTGTATTGTTTCAATCCGTTCCGCGAGAGTAGCGTTAGAAACGTTTCCGAGGCCGATTACCAATGGACCGTCAAGAGACACTATCAGGTCCTTGAAATACTGCACTGTCGATAGCCATGTCTCCTCCAATGCCGTCTGATTGAGGAGATCCTTCAGTTCGCTGGCCTCTTCCACCACCAGACTTATCAGATTTTCCTCCAACTCTGCCATGAAAACTGGAATTTTGGAGGCTGTCAAGCTTTTCACTCCACCAAACTGAAAACAAACAACAGTCATGTTAAGTAGGTTAGAAAAAAAGTAAGAAAGCCCCAGCCAGAAAGAGGCTATCACGCAATGCCTAAGAAAATAACTCGCAGACCCACCAGAAGCTCAACTAGAGCTCCAGCCCTCCAGTAACCATCCAATTCGTATGCTCCGCTTTGTTCGTCCAATTTTGTAGACAGCTCGGTGTCAAGCACAATTTCTCCCTCGTTGTAAATGTGCTGCAGGTTTCCTGCAATATTCAGCAAGCTTGACCCATTGCCCTGCAACACAGCCTCTACAAGGGCAAAAATTGTTTTAGCATGTGTGATGTTTTCAATTTTTCTAGATTCCATTTCTAATCTCGATAGTCCTAGTGTTTCATCCTGACTAATCATGGATCACCACCACTGCAAAGATGCACAACTATTTTCAAAGAACATCTTCTAATAAATTACTTGAACTAGAAGTCATTATTATTTCCGAGAATGGTTTTGTCTATGGTCTGCAATCAGTTTAGGATGTACCTGCTTGAGCGGTTTGCACACTGACAAAAAGCTTCATGGGATTCGCTGAGGCGCGGAACTCCGCCTCCATTCGCACTGTTCCTTCTCTGTACTGCAGTGCAATGCTGCCCACAGCTGCGTTTGGTTGCGATGCACGTGACATCCCAAAGATCACGTTGTTGTTGAACTAAGTAAGATGAGAAAAAGATGGTAATCTTCCCACTCATTGATATCCAAAATTGTATATTAAAACACGTACGTTCAAATAGACTCTTTTACCAGGGATGCGTTCGAAGTACATTTGTCCATTCTTGCCATCAACGCTTATGGTGGAATCTATTAAGAAGCTTTGGGAGTATATTTACAGAGCTTACTTATAGTTTTTCGAATGACACTTTCATAACGAATTGCGTCAACCACAAATGATCGTCCATTTCGATTGAGTGTAATGATAATTTGCGTCCGAAATTGGTCCAGTGGTGTTTTAAAAATCAACAACTCTACCACTGGTGTCGACAACGCATCTCCTCGTCCTCGGTGCAATCTAAAGGCTTTCCGCTTTGAATCCTTCACGAAGGCAAGGGTTACAGGTTCCTGAAAGGACCAAGAACAGATGCAACCCATCTGCCGGTATTATTTTTAAGCAAACGGTACGGACTGGCACCTACCTTTAACAGATACGAATTAATCTCCAATTTATTATCATTTCCGAAAGTGCCTTCAAGATACTTTATGACGGCTCCACTTCGAAGATTCTTGGTTCGTATGTAGTAGACTTTTCCCTCCTTCCCAAAATCGATGCGTCTTTCAAGATCTTCGAGAGCAAAGAACTGTTTGCCAAATGTTGCCAATAAAAGATTTCCTTGTCGACGATTCCATGCTATTTCTGTGACGACTGCATCCTGTTCGCGATCCACCCAAGCACCGAATCCGATGTCTCGATCTTTTGACGTTAAAAACAGTGCCCGTGGAATCCTTTCTGTGAATTCCGTCTCCACAATGATGGACTCTATGCGTCCGAATTTTGGTAAGATCATACTAAAGAATAGGTTTAGTTGAGCTAGCTTGCTAGCATCACCGCCTAGCAAAATTGATATGCAATCTTCCTTTTCATCAGCGCATCCACTCTTGACAAAGCTCAGCTTCTCACCTTGAACAAGACTGGTGAGCCTTAAATCATCCACTGTATCAATAATGTTGACTTTGTTAGAGAGAGCCAGGTAGACTTCCTCCTTAGAGCCAAGCAGAGTTCTCACCTCAATTTGAATCGGCTCGTGGACCTGTAGCACTGTTCTCCAAGCCTTCTCCCTCCCCAGATCGTAAGCCAGCCGGAAAACAACAGGAATAGGCAGACTCGGCAGACTGAAGGTCACCATAGAGGAAAATGGATTGACGAGTTCAAAACCCACTGCGTGATCATCAAGTCGAAGTAGATAGGTCTTTAGCTGAGAGTAGCCTTCCTCCTTATTTGTGTGTGGCAGGAGACTCAGAAGGTAGCCTGCATCAGTTTTTAGAATGAACTCGTGCTCACCGAGCGATTCAGTCAATGATTTGAGCACCATATCGATAGCTCGCAGACTGGGCGTGTTTGAAATCTTGAACATCATAGAGGCGATAGAATCACTACCAGTGGTTATTTTTCCATTCAAATCAAGAGTAAAGCCGTCATTATTGCGGACAAGACTTCCATCCCCTTCTATTTTCCCCACTACTTTATCGTTCATTAGAAGGGTCAGCTTGACTTCACCAGTAGATTCACCATGATGGGAGAAATTGAGGAGAAGAGCATGTTTGCTATCAACATGCACTTCCATCAAGGTAGTCCCAGTTGAAATGCGATCAAAACCAGCGACAAGATAGTCGGTAATACCCTTAGATGCCTTCGTGTTCTTCAACACTAGAGTGTAGTTGTTTGGTTTACTGCATTTAAAGTCATAATCGTAGTTCATCTCGCTGCCGAAAGAACAGTTGTGTATAGTGAAGACTTTGATAGGACCGTTTGGTAAGTAAGGGGAGTCAATATCTACATTAATGGTTAGTACAGAACCGTCTTTAGAAAGTCGGAATACGCTCCGCTCTTTGTGCAGTGATCCACTGGCCTCCTTGATGGAAAGTCTAGTCTCAATTAATCGCAAATCTTCACCCGTCTTCACACTAAACTCACAATCGCCCAAAATCGGTTCAGTTTTGAAAAAGCCTTTCACATCGAATTTCGCGATTGCCATCTCCTGTGGCATAGTCTGACTTGATACCTTCAACCGCATACATTTCAAACCTTTGAAGGTATGAGCCGGTGCGAAATAAACAAGGAGATGTGGATGCTTATTCTTTGTGGCGACGACCTCCGCTTTTAGTAATTTCTTTTTTTTCTTAACGACTTCAATTTCCATGTCGATGGAGGGTGTCGAACTGAACTCACCTTTGTATTCGAGTTCCAAGGCAAAATCGTGAAGTCTGGCATCTAATTCTACTTCCCAAATATCGGCCTTGCGTTGAACTTCAAATTTCCCTTGATGAACCAGCGTCTCTCCCACGGAGGCATTCGCATTGGTGAAGAATCCATTTGCACAAACTTCGTAATTCACCTTGGCTGCAATGACGGTTTGATTGTCATCTGGCAGTACCCATGATATCTCCACGGTTCCACCTTTCTTAGATTTGTCTATCTGCGCCTTCAGAGTTGCCTGCGAACCTACCACGCCACGTCCAAGATACTTCCTCCAATTAAGTAGCACATTACCTTCCAGCTCAAGGGAACCTCCTTTGGCATCCTCCATCTCGTACATGTACAAACCCTCAAGCATCTCGTAGCCAAAAGCTTTCCCCATGTTGGTATCCTCAGCGTAAATCTGAATTTCACCACCTCTAGTGTGCGGGTTCATTGTGCGGCTGATGCCGTAGCGGAAAGGCATTCCTGGCGGCGTTGCTCGATTTTCGTTCCATTCACCTTGTTGCTCTACTCTGAATATCTCATCAGTGAAAGTCCAGGAAACCTGTGTCTTATAGAGGAATCCTGTGAAGTTTTGCAACGGTGTTCCCGGGTGAAGTGAACACAGAAGTGAGAGTTCACCAGACTTACTATCCTTCTCACAGCTTTTTATTACCTTGAACTTGAATTCGTCATCCAGGTGAGTCCGAACGAATAGATCTACCTGTTCAAGATCTTTTAAATCGCTTTGAATATTCAGTTTTACGGTGGTTGATTTATTGGCTACCAGACCATGAACAGAGCCCTTAAAGGTGATCGAAAAGAATCGGCCTAATCCACTTGAAATGTAGAATTCAAAGCCACGTTTCAAAGAATCCACTATCAATAAGCCTCTGGCGTCAATTGCAGTCTTGCCACCTCTTTCCACTTCGAAGCCAGAATCAAGCGAAAATCCTCTTATGGTTGGCAGATCCACTTGCAAGCGGAACTTGGGGGCATTTGATAGGACCAGTGCGGTTGTGGCTACTGTTGCACCGTCAGAAATTCTCTTTACATAAGACCAATCATCTAGTTCACTTTGGGAGATATCAAAACTTCTGTACACATCATAGCGATGTTCAGTTCCAATGTAAACACTTGAGTTCACAGATACTCGGATTTTCCCATCAACAAATTGCAGAGTATAAGGCGACTCTATGCGAAACTCAAAGCCGTTAGCACTGAGTAGGTGAAGAGACTGGTGGTACTTGTCAACATCAATGCTCTCCTTGAATTTGTAAACCCATTTGTCACCACAGAGCACTTCACCCTCGAGTCTCTTTTCAAATCCATCATTGTCCAAGTACATACTTATCTTGCCAGATTTGCCCTGACACACAAGAGGGTGACGAAGACTTGCATTGAAGTGTCCATCAGTCACAACAAAGGCATCCGTGCTCAAATGGCCACTGATTTTCAGGAGAAGCTGTAATCATTTATGAAAATTTAAACGCCGTTTCATAGTTCTGTGGGCGTGGTAATCAAGCACCCATTAGTACGCCTAATGCTAACGATTCATTATATTGTTTTAATATTTTGATTCGTTTTAAATCATTATTATTGCGGATCACATAACCACTGTTGCAGAGATATGATCCCATTTGCCTCTGACCATTAAACTCTACCTTTTTATTTCTCTTCATTACACCGTCGAGTGTATAGGTGAATCCATTAACATGGGATGGCCGTCTCTTGTAGCCCACTCTAAGCCCAGCTTCATAGACGTGGATCCAGTGCTGCGTGTCGATAATCCACGAAGAGCTGTCCTCGGATATCCGCATAGCCGAGGAACCCAAAGCCCAGGTGTTTTGACTTAAGGCGAAAAAATATTCAGATTATAAGAAGCATGAAAAGTCACTTTTTGACGCTAAGCAAGAGCCAAAACTTTTGGAAATATACAGAGGGAGTCTAGAAGAACGTAGTTGAAGGGGAAATATCAAGTTTAGGGATGCCAAATTAACTTACGCTTGACCACTTTTCACAGACAAGAATCTGAAAGAAAGTAAATCACAAATTTTATTAATAAGCCCTATTTTAAGGATCTTCCCTGAAACATGTTAATAACAAATAGTTGCACACTAAACTTCTAAAATAACGTTTAAATTGGCATTCAGTGACAGAATAATTCATTAAAAACATATTATTAAGTTTGGTGTTGTCCTGGAGTTTTGTTTACACAGTCAAAATAAAATACTTTGATATCTCAAAAGCATTTGGACTTCACATTTGTTGTTTGACCAGTCGGAGGCAAACTGCTTTTAATGAATTAAAACACAAAACAACAAGAAGTAAAAGGGAATAACTAACTGCGTACAATTTTCAGAATAATGAAAAAGAACTTGTGGACATCAGTATGAAAAGATAATCAGAGAGGAGGTTAGATTCATTACTATCTTTATTTTAGACTGTCACATTGTTAGTCATGGATGAGGATAATCCATGACCCAAAAACGATGTGATTTTCACCTGATTAGGTGAAAGCACAAAAGCCATTATTATGTTTCTCTACTTTAAATCTCAGTGTAAAAATAGTCTACAGTGGCTCTTACCAGTTAGAAAGCATGGAACATTAGAATCTGGCCAGATTTGGATTGTAATTTGCACGGTAACTCGACAAATGTAATTCAAGTGATGTAAGGTTCAAAGCTCTACTATTAACGGGTAATATCGTGAACGAAGCTGAAACATAAATCTGTCGCCGTAGGAACATCGCAACGTAAATTTAATTTTTACTCTCCTCTGGTACTCACATACTATCTCAAAGTCATAAATGAAAGTAAAAGTCATTTCAGTAGTAAGGTAGCGCAAAATCACGTACAAGGAATAGTTGTAGATAGGCGTATAAGACAGTAGGTGAGGAACACCAAGATTATTGATCGCGACGGCTTTACCCGTCCACTTTTTCTTGGTATTTTCCTTATCAACTTGGAGACTAAACAAAGCAATATAATTCCTCGGTGCCCAGTTCATTTGCATCTCGAGTAGAATCGCCTTCTTATATGTCGGCAACTGTAGTTCACTTGTGTGTTTCACTTGGGTAGGTGTAGCGAACTCAGTACTCGCTAAAATGTTTGGCAGAATCGTGTTTTAATTAATTGGGCGTCTCATTCTGCTTGATTTTCCAACGTTAAGCATTAACAAGGAGAGGCATTTTCCATGAAAATGCCCTTTCTTTCGGTCGCTTCAAATGCAAATGAATAGGGATTCGCCCAAGCAAATATGATAACGTGCAATTTTATTATCTGATTTGAAAAAGTGGGTGTTGTTAAAAGATTATAACAAAGTTTTTTGTATATACTTGCCAATCAATTAATACTTCATAAAACCACCAAGATGGTTTTATTAAATCATAAAATACCCAATATCACCTAGAAAGTATTAGGGGACACCATATTTGTTGCCCCTGAAAATTGCTGGATGGCATTTATTCCAACCCAGGATTTTTGCGAGTGTTAAAACATTCACTTTAACTCGAAATAGTACAAAAGTGTTGTTTTTGAACTTTTACTTGGCAGATTTCTTTGCTCTTGACTTAAAAATAAGCTGACGCTGAGATCAATTGCTGTACCAAGCATTGCTCGAGGTACGTTCATCACGCAAATTCATGAGCCAGTTTAAGAGGAGTGCAAAAAAAATGAACCTTACACTTGAATATAAACGGTAAAATGTTGCTAGTTGATTCGGCAGCCAGGATGTAGATCTTTCCAACTGTGACCTGATAATTCACCGACAAACTGAAGTCGGGACGAATAAACTGGGCTGTGACTTCATGATCGGAGGACCCGACTTGTTTCACATTCCCAGTGATATTTGCTTCCCAGCCGGCAATATTCAGCTCTCCAGCAAATTCACCCTCTGAATTGTAGTTAACTATATAGCAAAAGGGAAGATATTTTTAGCATTGTATTTATCAACCAGGTTTTAACCTTGGAACAAACTCACCTAAGCAACTGTATGTGCTATTCCAGGGCATTTTAAGGGTGGCCAAGGTGAACCACTCGCTCTTCATTTCACGAGTCAAGTAGTTAAACTTGATGAGCTCCCTCGATCCCAAGAAGCCCGACCTTTTGACACTGTAGCGCTTGACCTCAAACTTCACTGACTGAAAGAGACCGGAAAAGCTCGGCTTCTCCTTGATAAAGCTAACGAATAGACCATCGAAGCGTTCCACCTCCACAGCATAGCCCGTGATCAGACCAGTGGAGGGATCTCGAAGTGAACTCAGGCTTGCGTCAAGACCAATTAGTGTCTTAAGAAGGGATGGTGAGCTGCGCAGTAATTGAGACTCCCCTCCTGATAAAATTGCCGAGGTCTCACCAGCTGGAGAAATAGCCTTCACAGATCGGCTAAAGAAATGACAGAGTATGTGTTTAAGCACAAGCTTCTCGTACGATATGAAGTTGATAGCTAGAAAATTTCACCTTATTTTGAATGCAGTCATTTTAGAGTCCACACCAAAGAGTCCAACCTCAAATCCCGTCAATTCCCTGATCCGATCCAGGAGGTCAATGGTGACGATAATCGGCACATTCACTTGGACCCCATCTTCAGTGGAATAACCCAGAAGCCCCTCATTTGCGTTAAGTCCCACTTCGACCAGACGCACGGCGTCTAAGCTGAATGAAGGTTGGGAAATTTTGATACTTACAAGCACAAAGTGTTTTTTTGCGTCTGCCCACTCAACCTACTTACAAATTCATGAGTAGCGTGGCCACGAGTGATGTCTCGCCCTTAAATGCATTCCTATTTTATCCGTGTTTTTAGCTTCAGTGTATGTTGGCTTTAGACTTAGAAGTCTGAATGCCTTTGTTGCGCACCTACATTCAAGAAGTAAGGTTTCATTGTTTTTTTCATACCCCAAGTGTGCTATTAATATGTGATATTCCCCCGTTTAAATGAAATCAGTTGTTATATTGGGAAGTGGCTGCGACTTACAAAACATTGATCCCGTATTTGGCATTCAGTCCATGGTAATACGTAATGTCCTGATGTATGGCCAGTAGATGGTTGATTTGCACGACAATTCCACCGACTGTTGAGAATGCTACAGTCTCGTTGATTCCCATGAAATCGGGTCGTGTTTCAAAGAGCCGCGCCAACTGATCGGGGTTTTCAATGTCATCATTGTAGCTGAGATCGCGACCGAACAGTCGCACTGACAACCTCGATCTATTGTCAACCGGGCTCCATCGACCATACTGAAATTTAGAGTCTGATATAAATATATATTCCTGTTTACTAAAGCAAGAAATTTTTGCCTACCGTCTCAGCAGCCTTAGGCAAAGCATCTATTCCACTCCTCTCCCTACTGAAGGAATGTTTATCTCCAGAGCCGTAGAGATAGTTTGTTAAGCTCTCTGAGTAAACAGAGTGATAGGCAAGCTCAAGAACGTTGACTGAGTAGCCCAGGACGTCGAGAGTGAAATTGAGATCCACGTAACGGGGTAAGATGCCTTGTGGACCGTAGACAACTGTCGCGTCCACACCTCCACCAAACTCAAATGGAAAAAAACCAACACAGTCTTTTTTTTGTATACTAATTGCGTATTGACGGTCTTACTCTATATTGAACTAACCTGACTCCCTGCCACATGCTTTTCCTTATAGAAGGATTGTTTAAAGATATTTGGCGTGTGATTCTCAACCATCCTCATTAGTTGAGTGTCAACATTTGCTAGCAGAAGAGATTCCTCCTGCTTGGCGCGGTTATTAGAGTTGCGTATTCCACTCAGATGGCTCAAAATGTAGGATGTGACCTTAAGTGTATGGTAAACTGTAAGAATGAGTGGTGGTTTAGTGCTCTATCCTCAGAAAACTTTTTAAACTGACCTGTTTATCAGGTTCTTGTTCGAGAAAATGCAGCTGAGCGAGCTTTTCTTGAGTAAGGTGTCGAGCCCATGAGCGGTAGGCCTGAATTCTCACTTCTACATCTTCATCAGAATTCGTAAAGACCCTCAACAGGATATCCTACAGGATTTCCGGTAAAATTTAAGTTTCCTCTCGGTGGAAGAGACATAAAGGCAGAGCAGGTGCTCTTACATCGACGTCCGAATCTTCAGGGAATCCACGAAAGGCCTCAGCAGCAGTTACACGAATAATCAGGTCGTGCTCGGTAGGCGAATTCAAACATCCAGCTAGTGCGGGATACACGGACGACTTATCGCTAACCCTTCCAAGATTCGAGATTGCCCTCAGGGAATCCAGAACCTTAAAATTGGTAGTTACCACCAACCTAAGAGGTTAGGCAATTTTCCTCAAAAAAACGAAACACGGCTAGACTTCAAGTGTATTGGTTAATCGGACTGGCTAATAGTCATGGTGTTCTTTTAAATATAAGCATTGTTTCATTGATCTACCAAGATAGTTGTTGAAGGAGGCACTTTGGGAACTCATAAACCGTAGAAACGTTGTATGATAAACCCAAAGTAAAACTTATGCTTCGGGGTTACTGACTTAACCGCGGGTTCTGCAATATAAGTAGCCACTACCCTTTTCGGCATTTCAAAAAGCGCCATTGCGAAAATTTAGCTTTAATCTAGTTGCTAAAATGACTAAATGTTGAAGTGCTGGATTATCATAATTTCCAGATTAGAAGTTGCCAAAGTTAATTCCTCTTTGAGCCAAAATAGAGCTGACACTGCTCAGGACATTCTATTTCACAATGTGTAATGCTTTAATTGTTCGCTTAACTCTTCGTTTTGGTTATGCGGACCCTCAAGGCCTTAACTTTTTACTACCCGGGGAAGAGGAGGGAACATTGCCACCGGGTCATGTTAGTGGTAAGCCAGCCCTTCTGTACGCCTACAACGCACATTTTGACTTCTTCTGACTCTAGAGATGACCCGAAGCGTTAACTTAAGGACACGTATTCTGACTGAGCTGTAAACTGTAATTTTCTATGGCATTACGAGACTGCAAACTTCTTGGGCATCGTTCAAAATGCCAAAAGTATGTTTTACCTTACTGAAATCTTCGGCTTGACCAAATTTGCAATAATTGAGCGCCCTCGACTCAAGGCTTCTCATGACCTCTTTCACACCCTCTTCCTCCTCGCATTGAGAATGTGTTTTACAGTAGGTTCGCAGGAGATTTGAGGCCACCATTGTAAGGATTTTGTGGCTTGACTTTGAGAGGGTTTGCTGAAAAAAGCGGGTCGATTCTTTGCAAACTAAAATAAGTTACTAGTATTCATTCGAATGTTGTTTTTCAGTAGCTATCGTAGTCTATTAAAATTCAGTGATGGCTGGGTGATAGGTAATCAGGCATCATGTTTCTGTTCCAACTTCCTAATGTTCCTTCTCTAATTCATCCGCATCTTAAAGGTAACTGTTCTTTGAAAAAGATTATAGTATTTACGGAATAGAGTCTTGTTGAAGCAAATTTGACTTATACGCAAATTCAAGGTTATGCAGAAAATGTTGGGACATTTAATTAGATCACCTGTCTTGTAAGACTAACCATTTATCTAGGATTCTAAACATTAATGCGCTCTTTAAGTGTCATAAATTACTCAGTTTAACTTACCAAACCTTGGAAACCATAATTCGGACCCAAAAACCTACTCCAGGTTACCGCCTTGCTGCATGTATAAATTGTCATTAAAGTCGGTAAAGTAGTGCCTTCTGAAGACTAAGTGCATTCATGATGTGGCTTATTTACCATTTGATCAGATCCTCGTGTTATATCATCCATTTATGAGGTCCCTATGAGATATTTAAGTAACTACCAGTAACAGATTTTACACGCTCCTTGAGAGGTGTTGCTTCACATTCGAAGGCCATATCACTTCGGACCGTCTAATTACTTATAGATAATTTTGCAGTAAAGTGACATTTAGATAGATGTATATTTAATCATCAAGGCTCCCGAGTCCGTGCGGTTTTAACCTCATCATGGTGATGTGGCTTTTGGTTCGCATCTCCGGCTTTTCAGCTCGTCTACACCGATGCGCAGGAATACATCTTCAGAAATGGCTTGAGGCACAATCGCATTTCACATAATTTACAATTTGTTAATTTTCACAATCTTGCCTTTTACAGGCCGTGTGTTACTGGGGGAAAAAAGTAGATTACCTCAACTTTCTTGATAAAGTTTAGAGAAGGGCTGGGAAGGAAGCTCATATGACCGACTGGGAAGGTGAAGTGAGTCGCACCAAGACACCATTCGAGAAATTCGACTGATTCTTCAGTTTGCGCATGAACTGCGGCATCAAAAAGCAGACCTCTAAAATATGCCGAAAATTTCCCCTTGAAGCCAAATATACCATGACTGTTGGAAAATGAGCTTAGTTACCAGTGTATTAAAAATTTACTAAATAGACATTATTTAAAAGAACTCCAAAGAGAAAGCACTTGTCAAGTGGTGTAAAGTGTTTCCCTGAATTTACTCGGTTCAAGGAACTCAGTGGTAATTCGACTCGATGCAACATCGACATCACTGATACTTACAGAGCTGTTTCACTGTAGGAAAACTCCTTTAAAGCATTAAACTTCGTGCTTGTGCACCGACGCATGTATTCGACAAGCATGAGGAAATCTCGAGCGTTTGCAGTCCTCTTCTCTGCAGCGACATCCTTCAACATTTGCATCACCCCTTCAGATGCCACAATTTGATGTGGTTTGGACCCAACATAGCTTTCTCGGTGGCGTAAGCTAGTGAGTACATAGGATTGGGATCTATCTAGAGGGGCAAAGAGACCATGAATGGTACGAAAGTATCAGGAGTGGATCATCACAAAACACCACAGTAAAACCATTGAGTGAATCAGAAAACTATAAAGAAATAATGTTTGCTTGTGTGTGCAGTGAGTTTTGTGAGGAAAGCAGTCAGCAAACATACCGATAGTAAGAGATCCAGACGACTTTGAAGAAATAAGTTTCAACCTGGTTATCACCTCAATGTCATTCAGTTTCTTCCACTGGTAGTCGACCGGACCATTTACGACAAACCACTCCCTGCAAGAGATCTCAGAGATCGGTTTGTTGTATTTTAAGGACACTCGGCATTCCTGTTCTCCATTCAGCATTTTGTATTTCGATAACTCCTAAAAAGAAAGGTAGATCTTATCTAAAATTGTACATAACATCCGTAAATTTGGCCAAGACAGCGACCTACGGAGGGAGTTTCATCAGAAACACCGTCAAGGCGGGTGATGAGGTCGTACTTGTCAGCGCATCCAGCAGTGGGCTTGTGTTTTTCAAAAGTAATCCCCTCTTCGTCACTACTCACAACCTCATATCGAGTCAGACATCTTCCTGAAATGTCTTCCTTCATTTGAAAGAAAAGGAGACGCAAATATCATAGGCATCGGTACTTTGTTCTTCCATTTATGAGTGCCCGGTGGAAATAAGCATTCAGATCTTAGAATTTTCGTTCACTAGCGAGCTAGCACAAAACGAGGTACTTGAGCCCTTAAAACAATATGTTTACCAAGTTGAAAATCAGATTACAGCTAAAACACCCGTAGTGAAGCGTCAATCATGCGGCACCGGGGACACTCTCAGCGCAGGTCTTATGTTTACATGGCACTACGCAGGTCGATCCTTCAGTCGATGCAAGGATGCATAAGATGTAGACATAATCGGCAATCGGAGTGTTGTGAAGGCTTTGATTTCGATAGACTAAGCAAACTCCTCCTGTTTCGCCATTATTTTCAGCTACTTTAAAGAGTGTTTTAGAGCCCTACTAAACAAATATGCACCTAAAGGCCTGTAATCTGATCATTCTTGACACCTAATTAAAGATTACCTCAAATCCAAGAGATTATGCCATTAGGCTGAGTAAATTTGACGTACTTCAACTGATTCTGAGGGCAGTTTCAACGACTTTAAGTCTGCCTGCAGGTGTGAGAGAATGGCTGCCTTCACATTCCATGCGAAGGGATCATCTGTCTCTGCAGGACAGAATCCAGTTACTGTCCCCTCCTCGAAACCGAAGTAGGCTATTTTGGCCTGCAGAATGGCAGCCGTAGTTGGCTTGGCAATTTGGGAGCCGTCAGATGTCACCTCAAAAGCTTCGACATCTTCCAACTGAACCGGTTATGAAAACAGGGAATTTTTTAAACATGGGCAATAAAAGGATTGTAAAGTTGCCCAAATTCTCCTCACTTATCAAATAGCATGTAGTTTGTTCAGTTTTTTATGAGAATTTTTCCACTGGAAGTGATACAACAAAATAAATATGATACCAGGTCAAGATGGTCATCAATCATCTCTCTTAACATAATATAAGGGCAGAAAAGGAAATTTATTGGTTTATTCTGTAATTTCCACTGTTTACTTAGCAAATTTTCGGCTAAAATGGTGAATAAGAACAAGTTTAATGCATATGCATTGTTCACCTTCAAAAACCATTTTTTCTAAGGCAGAATCCATGTGCCTAAAAAATTACATTAACAGGCCTATGCAGAAGAGCCTAAATAAATTATGTGTCTAAAACTTCAATTCAAGAATAAGAAAGACCTTCATTCTTCTTTAAGACGTTATAACAAGTTCCACCAATCAGATTTTTGATTTGTGCGGAAAATACCAAGCAACCAATGAAATTAAGGCCAGATTCGTCCTGACCTATATTGGAGAAATACCACTAGTAAATTGTTGAGAATAGATAAACGACCTCACTTAAAAATTCCCTTCTCTGCAAACTGACATGGACGCCTGACAATTCAAGCAATTAACATGCATTCAAAAGGCGGCAATAGGATACGTTTAAACAGACAAGCAAAAGGGAACAAACCTTGAGCTCATAGGTACAATCAGTACCGCCTGAAATGACAGCCTTGCCGCGAATGGTGAAACCCCTTTGTGAGGCTTCGTGAGCAGCACTGCTGACACGATGCTTAATCTTGAACTTGTATCGATGACACCGGAGCACGCCCAAGTCCACAAGTGGATTGTTACCTAAAATACGATAAACAAAAGCCATGATTTTTGTGCGCCTGTGTACATTGATATGTGTTCAGAAGTGACAAATGGGCATATTGGGTCTGGCTGCTGCCCTGTATTTGGGTGTGTATACGGGTACGACATTGGGTGCTCAGACGATGGAGTTATCAAGTTAGGGTGAAGACGATGTGAATAGATAATTAATGGTGTATGTCATGGCCAAGAGTTATCAGAAATGGGCCAGTTATACGGCATGCACTCAGAATAGCGTTGATCTTATTTGCTTTTCAGCTTTAACGTCTAGGTGCTCCACACTCATCTACACTCCGCCGTCTAATGGAGACTCTTGGCATACCTATTGTTATCAAAAAGAATGAAATTATTGCATAGAATTATTCGTCTTTGCGATATTTTTAAAAAAGCCACTGGTGATGGAACTCAATCACATTGAGGAGATGAGAGGACCAGAAGAAGGACTAAAAACGTTTGCTGTTCAAATAAGTCTTCCTCTGAAAGCTATGAATGAACGGGGATTGTTTTTCTTTGACAAGACATACGATATTTTTCGCTTTACGGATAGCTACGGCCAAACGCTTCCAAAACTTCGATTTACACTGTTTTTTTGCTCGTTTGAAGTAGTACCTAATTTCATAAACAGGTACACACTCAGATGGCAAAGAGATCACAAAGGAAGGGAACCCAAAACCAAGGGAATGCTTTTGTCATGGCTCGTTCTCCACAAACGTGTATAACCTAGTGAGGCATTAAAATAACGAAATAACTCCTATTTAAATCCTTTTTCTAAGATAACGGGGGATTCTGCCGTTTGAGGTTTGTTATTTCCTAATTCCTAGGTCATTGTTAATAAGCTTCAAGAAATCGACTTTGCTAATCACTGTTGCAAGTGAAAATCCTAAGCAAAAGACGTATTCCTTAAAAGGGATGTCGATGGATGGTCTTAAGCCACTATGAATTTCAATTAGTGAAAATTAAACTAAAGAAGCGTCTTGATGGTATTATTGTTGAAAGGATAAAAGTAAGTGCATGCTTAAAAACAGAATTACTTAATGACTGAACAGGTAAGCCATTTGAACAAATTAAACAACTCACCATTGCAAACAGCAGGGCACTGAAAGTTTTCAAAAGGTTTTCCTGCCGATGCTAAAGCATCAAAATCAGTAAGATATCCACAAAGCAGCTTTCATTCAAGCAAAAATTTATAAAACCCACTAAAGATATTTTGCTTTATAAATTGTGAGTGGGTGAATTCAATTAATTACAATAGAACTTACCAGAAGTTACAACACATGGAGCGACTGGAATTAAGACCGCAAGCACATGCATAAGCATTGTAGCGTAGCTTAAATGCCACATCACTTTTGACAATTCTTCCAGGTGATCATGAAGTTAAACATTATATAGGAAGGGAATGCGATCGCCTGCACATAAACAAGCCTGGAACCGATCGTGTCTCCATGTTTACCGAACATAAACAGACCCCGAGGGTTGCAGCTCTCCGGCGGGTCTCGGATATTAAAGGCTTTTTTATGTTTACACAATTTTCTGCATTTGAGTTTATGAGGCTTCACCACTGTATTTTTATTAACAAACAAGAGCAATTTCATGTGCACTCTATTCAAAACAAATCACTGGCAGGTGCAAGTGATAAATGATGATTTAAAGAAACAGCGTATTTGAAGATGGGACATATGCTGCAGATTTAATCCTCGCCCAGTTTTAAATTTATTTGCTCATAAATATCTGCGGGCACTCTGGGAGTAACAAGTCGTAGCTCCGAATGGTTTGTGGGACATTTGACTGTTAATACGGGGTCGGTTGATAACTAAGCGCCGCTGCACGAATGAATCACTTTGATGTGTAATTTAAGGAGATTCTGGAAGCTCAACGGTTAAAACAATTAGTTACATGCTAAAAAAGACACTTCCTTGGATTCCGCTTAGCTGCTTAAGTGTCGTGTTTATATGACTTAAGGAGAGAAGATTTGAAAAACCGACCTGCCAACAAGGTCATTGTAAATTAAATAGCGCCTTAAATTCAGGAGGCGGATTTAAATTATGCCTTCCATAAAAGTGGATTGAATTTAGTCATTCACTGACCAATTTCAGGCTTTAAAAGCACTTTTTGTTTCCAGGCAATTCTTAAATCCATTACATTTGTAAAGTTGGCACCATTATAAATACCGGCATTCGTTTTGCCGAAACATTAACGATGGGGAAAACAAATTCACGAATGTTGCCTGATTTGACTGAATGATTTGCAAAAGGTAAAAAAAGGAGTAATTACCCATATCAGAATTAACTCGATTTAAAAACGTTGGATTTACCAATTTTATAGGAAAACTAACGAATAACTGAGTTGCATTTGCAAGAAGAGAACTAAAAGCAGAAGCATTGTTTTTTTAAAAATGAAGGTATAGTTATTTCGAATGGTTATCCCTTTAGTGGTTAAATGCCATGGAATTTAAAGGTCGCTACTTGGTGTATTGACTAGCAGAGTTATAGAAGTTCACTTTAATTGCGCTCTAAGGACGCAGCGGATGTCTTTTGAGGTAAAGGTGTCAACGTAATCACAAAATTTAGAGAAGCTACTAGGTAACGGGGTCTTTCGAGCATGGGATCACATCGTATTATGAGAGGAGCCGAGGGCCTACAGGATTAGTTGCCACGCTTGCATTAGAAGCGATACACCTCGAAGACCAACACGAAATATTATGTTTTTTAAGAAAAAAATGTGTTAAATAATTACATCAAAAGATAAACACTACCGATCTTCCCCATTTACAAGTCCTAAATTGTGGACAAGTTGGTGCGGCGATCAAGGAACCTACAGCCTTTTTTAATTGATGGGTAAAAAAAAAATCGGTACTTCATAATCTCATGTAATATGATGGTGATTTATCCCTCGGTATTGGTGAGCCGGCACTTTTGGACTTTTGAATTAGCCTTCTTATACCTCGCTGGGTGGGCTGGCCTTTGGGACATACCAGTAGCCCAGACACCTTCTCTGTGCAGAGTATATATTCTGCCCGAGTGTTGTGTCCTCTTTCGCCTTCAGGAAACCTCGGCAAACTACACTCACGTTTTCAAAGGACAATTAATGATTTGTTTTTTAAGCCATGCGTCAAAACCTTTTAGTAGTAAATTTTGCATTGCACACATTTAAAAGCTTTATAGCTACTGATGGTATGATTTATGCGTCCAATTACACCTCTTTATTTTAATTACTTGATGGTCAGTTATCATTAAATGCATTTTTCTCAAATGCAAGCCCCAAAAAACGATGCTTTCAAAAACGCTTGTGTACTAAAGTAAAAAAAATTCCAGTCCGGAAAATGTTTTGTAAGGGAACTATTGCTTGAAGTACTACCAGTCTATGTTTTACCAGTAATAAATTTAACATTTCTTGCATAAATCTCACTAACTTTTAAGAGAACAGGACGCTTTTTGCATAATTAAAACCATATTCACCATCAGTCTCTGTTCTTTTTGCAAGTTAGGATAGTACAGAGAAGCAATGCCAATCCCACAAATCTGAATCTTGTCTTCACTGAGGAGGAATTCAATGAGGTAAATCGTGGAAAAGCAATTGCTGATTGAAGTGATAATAACGTTACTTTAACAATGGAGTGCCGAAAGATCGGACGCCTCCGCACTTCCGGGTTAAGCACCTGTGTTGCTCATCCGGAAATTCCATGTGTATGGATTCTCCTTATAAGAACGTTCTCCATATACACCTATACTAGACAAAATACATGTGAAATGTCATGTTGTGGTATTAATATCAGAAGGTTTGAAAGATAAAACTTGTACTAAAACAAATACTGGGTTGCAGAAAACTCAGTTTGATTAGTCATAACAGTCCAGTCCCCTCATAAGATGAAGCATCAGTCAAAAAAAACGTTAATCTTAATTTATTGCAAAAAAAGTTGCTAAATATTGTCATTTAATTGTTTTAAATACTATTTGTTTATGCGAATCGTTCATGTAAATAGTCCATGTTCAAGGTTATTTCACTGCTGTTTCGGTGTTCACAAGCTCACATTTGAGTTTTCCCGATGCACTTTTGTACTTGTGGTTCACTATGACAATCCCCACTTCTGTGACAGACAAGTGAGTTTGGATTGAGTAGTTGATTTTATAAAGATAGTGACCTTCATGACAAATCTAAAGATTCTCGGTGGCATTGGTGCAAATGGATCCCAACATCAAATACTAAACTAATACAGGCTGAAGATAAAATCCTACAAAGTTAGTAAAGATTCACTCGTTTTAATACTTTTCAGGATGTGAGTGTGATTTTGAAAAATTTTTCCTTCCGGTTTATGACTCTTCTCTGTATTTACGAACCGTCATTGCTAGAAACTTTCCCAAATCAAAGCCCATTCATAGTGAATATGAACAGCGAGTGCCTTTGGTTCTTATTCATGGGTTTGCCTCTGGTGTTGGGCTGTGGTGTAAAAACTTTGATACTCTTTCTGCCTTCCGTCGTGTCTACGCGTTCGACCTGCTCGGTTTCGGTCGGAGTTCCCGACCGCCCTTTCCTAATACCGCTGAGGAAGTGGAAAACAAATTTGTCGAAGACATTGAGGAGTGGAGGAAGAATATAAAATTGGACAAGTTTATTCTTCTTGGTCACAGTATGGGTGGCTTTATTGCTGCGTCTTACGCTCTCAGCCATCCTGAGAGGTAGGATCCCGATTATTTAGATTTTTTCAAAACCTGCACCTGTTCTGTTTTCAAACCACCTATTTGTCTTAGAATTGTTCATCTGGTTCTTATCGATCCATGGGGATTCATTGGACAAGAAGAAAATACCACTTCCTTCCCAAGTGGGGTTCGTGGATGGGTCGTCAAAAGACTAGCCTCTTTTCGAGCTCTAACCACCATGCGAATGATTGGACCATTCGGTCTCAACGCCATGCGCAAAGTCCGACAAGACTTTGGACAGGTTTATTTCCAGACATCTGCTTCAACGAATGTGAGTTAGTCCTAAAAAATCAAAAAAAAATAAATTTTGTTTTATTTTACAGGGAAACTAGACGACGCTATTCTTGTAGCAAAAGTGTTGTTTTCCTTCCTCTGCTCTTCGGAGTGTGCCTCTCTGTCGCGTTTTCTCTTGTAAATTAAAGAGTTGAATTTTTTTGCGATTTTCTAGGAACCTTGTGAGGTCAACGATGACTCTCATGATTTTGCTCATGTAAGCTCTTGGTCTGCTGGCAAAAAGCGATCCGTGGCATCCAAAATGGGTTTCTCCAAAGCCTCCAGCTTTGACTCTCTCTCTCCCTACGATTCATCTGTTGTCTACAACTACATATACCACATCAATGTTCGTAATCCTACGTACGTATGTGCGTTGCATTTCTTATTGTCTTGGCAGACTGCAATTTTTGGATGAATTCTGAAATTATTTTCCATTTAAGTTACTATACACGAAACAGCTACCTCATTTTATGAAAGCATGCCATCACTATCTTGAACAGTCTTCTTTAAGTGTTGCTTTGACTTGATGAAGACGCAGAAGATTGATAAAGACAGTTCTATGAGAAATCGTTATAGATATTCACACAGATTTACCTTTGAGGCACAGTTTTGTTTCTCCCGTGCCAACACCTTAATAACATTAGTACGATTACGGGACGAGCGCCTAGGCACTTTCGTCTATGCCTCAGTTATTTAAACAGTCACGCGATATGCACTTTTACCGATTTCAAGACTGATCTGAACTAGGGTGTAGACAGATCCAGCATATATTTAATGGTCCTGAGTTCTCTTCGTCTGTCATTCTTCTGTTATCCCTAATCAGTTCCAAGAATCTTTGTCCTTTGCGGTTAGGTCATAATTGGAAGTTTGAAATTTGCCACACCAGTAGGAACCGTTATGAATCCGTTAGTCTACCTGCAGACAATTCTACTGAAAATTTTATGTTTACATCAAACAAATTGATTTTGACAAATATACAATTTTTGTGAACATCTTAAACGTCTTTTTTACCCATGGATGTACTCTCCTTCGTGGAAGAAAACCCTTATGGACCGAGGGGTTTTGTTCTAACAAAGGTTATTATGATCGCAAATGAGCCAAGTAAAATATCACTGATGAGACTAGAACACTAAAACAGTTTCTGTTCAAGTAGACGTAAATAAATTTCAGTAGAATGTCAAACTAGCATTGTTTTGGATAAAATTGGATCATTTGAAATAACTCAGCACGAGTTAAGTAATCGTTCATGTAAAGAAAATTGCTTTGAATCCTTCCTTTTTCGGTAACACTTCACAAAAACGAAATGCACGAGCGCCCTGTTTTATTGTCGTATAGGGTAGAAGGCTGAAAGTAACGATTGAATGATGGGTATAAATGAATAATTTAAAATGATTTAATTACTTTCCCAGCCCTGGTATTCATTGAAAAAGTTCAAGGGTAATAAAGATGATTTGAATCCCACATGCTAATTACTCGGAGGTGGTACTTAAACTCCTCCCACGTTAACTGTACCTGTAAGTTTAGCCATGCCTCCATTTTATGAGAATACCAGCTATCAACCATATCTTTCGACAAAAATTGCTTTTTACAAGAAGCCTAGCCATTCAGAAAAGTTTGCTTGACCTCTGGACTTCCTTGCTAGCGGTCGTAAAAGTGCATAGTAAATCTACGAACACTCTCATCAAGTGATTGCACAATTTGCCGAGTGTACTGTTCAACAAAGCGTTCATTTGAAAATAGACTGAATGGTTTGTTAAAGCATTCTTGAAAGCTACCGAAATGCTTGAATAGGTCGAAAAATGGACAAGCTGAAGCGAAAGGCAAATTCAAGTAGTGGCTTTTCTCCCTCCCTTTGTAGTGGAGAGGATGCCTTTAAAAATATGTCAATGCTGGGCTGGGCAGTGCTACCGATGCTGCCTCGAATACGGGATCTGAAGGCGGATGTACCCATTACCTTCATCTACGGTGGACGCTCCTGGGTCGATTTCTCTTCGGGCCTTCGTACTCGTGATCTACGTCCCGATTCCTACGTCGATGTTATGGTGGGTCTCTTCGTCCTCTTTATTTGACTTCTGATCTTCATTTTGGGCATCGTTGGTTTCTAATTAAACGGCCACAAAAGTATCCTCCCATTCCGCTTTTCCTGATTACTGCTTCCATGCTAAGATGCGTAGAAGTCTTTTAACTCTTCCATTGGTGTTGTACCACTGCTATTTTGACAGTACGAGATATGTTGCGTCAGTCGGCCCGAAATATCGTATTTTCCTTCACACCATCATTAGGTTCTCCTTCCTCTGTCGACATCCCAGTGTGTGCTAAAACCTCTTTCTTCCCTTGTATTCTTCTAACCTAGTTAAATGTATTTGACTGTCAATTATAAAAAAAAAAACACACAATTTCTCTCGAAGTGCTATTCATGCATACATCTTAGGCATCACTTGGATTAAGAAGTATCATTTTCCACACAAATGTAGTAATGAACCGCGGACTCCTTCATAATTTGAACCGTATGAAACCTCTCGAATCACGCAGAAGTGTGACAAGTAGTAGTCTTGGAAAGCTTCTTAGTGTGCTTCGGTAATACTGTGGTCCCAAAAAAATTATTGGAGTGGTTTCTTTAGGCAGTCTTCCTGTTAATTGGGCGTCATTAACTATTTGGGAAAAAGTGTTGGTTAATTTTACTTTCCCAAGCCGTTAATAAGCACAATCCTGTGAGATCTCACTGTGATCTTCAAATATCAGGAATGCAATGTCTAGAGGAATGTGAGATCTGTAGGCTTTCGTGAAGGCACCATGCTCTCTTCTCCATCCGTCGATCAAACGGGTCCTCTGGCGGCAGACTTTCATGTAGAACTGTTGTAATAACATCTCTCAAGGGAGGATCTGACTTAGTAACAATTTTCCTTTCTTCTGTTTTGAGAGAAATGTCTTGGGGGGTTGCAGAATCTTTTACTTACTGTTTTGATCAAGAAGTACTGGTATTACTTAATTTTACATGTAATATAATGTCGCCATTTAAGGAGGCTAATGTAAGTGTTGAAGTGATTGAATGGTTTTCGCTGGACTTTGTGAATGAGAGATACGTAATTTGCTTACTATGCAATCGCCCTTTGCCACTCTCCCAATTTCGATACTACTTTCATCATTCTACGCACTTGGTGTGAAGGTGTTGTTTTTCCGTCATATGACCCCACGCGTCATTATTGTGCGCCACTTTCCTGTCAAACTGATTTCAGCGCCACATGTTACATGCATGTGGCTTAAACAAACCCCTTTCACATTGATGGAAACTTCATGGGTATTATTTGGACCCGGCGCCTTGTTGTAAACAACTCTGCAACCTACCACGAAGTTTGGGAGGGGATCAGCTTACGAGCGTTGATTGCTTCGTCAAGGCGTATTTTTACTCTGCCAGATTTCTGCTAGTGATTCATGTTTGAACCATAAATAGAGCCTCTGTATGCATAGAAACTAAGAAGTCAGGCCTTACAGAATGTGTCATTGTTAATGAGTTTGCATTCTAATTAAATATTTTACTAACTATGAAATAGTCCAAGTAAGAAGTATTGCCATCCAGTAGTAGTGTAAAATTCTCCATCAACAAACTTTCAAATATTGTTGGAGCAAAAGCAACTTTTAATGCAGTTCAGGATCTACCTGCTGCTTCCACCGTACCCGCTTTCATCTCGCCACCAAGCATTACTGGATTAGGGTGAAAACTTTCGCGTGTCTGGCTCATTCACCTAGAATGGGGGTTTGCAGACTGTTGGCCAACACACTATGCATCCACCGATAAACACTTTTTAAATGACTCGAACTATTTACTATAAGTTGTTTGCATTAATGACACGAGTGTTCAGGACATCGATAATTATTATCGGACCAACTGGCAGAATATTTACGTAAGCGAAATGAACAGAACACGGGAGGATGGAGACCTCGCATTTGACTGGTAGGCCTTCTCGTTTGATTGTCCTCCTCGAGACTCCCAGTAGTCACTGTTCCGCTTCTACCACCATAAGGTAGCAAGGCGCATTAAAACCAACTGTGGAACAGGCTTTTGCAACGGTTTTCTACTAAGACGAGCAGATACTCGATTTTAAAAAAGCACCGATGCATCTCTTAGACTTAGATGACTTCACTGGAACCATTCCTTTTACAAACCCTCAAAATTTAATATTTACAGGCTAGTATTTGTAGCCATCTCGTCCCATTGATGACCACTGCCCAAAACTTCAGATCAGGATGAGTGGCTAAATCCAACGCGGTTTCGGTATCTATCTTTCTGTGCCACACCACAGACTCAGCTGACGAAATCAGGATTGTAGCTTTCGAATAAGCTTCGCTTACTCCCACCAATGCAGCCTGAATGGGGTATACTGGGTTTATTATCAATCTGCAGCATAGTTGGAGAACTACCCTACCTATGTTGGATGTCATAGAGCTAGCCTGGTAGTCTAGTCACGGGGGAGCTAAAAGTCCTCGCAGTTAGATATAGAAATATGCCTGCTATAATCATTAGCTATCTACTACCAAAGAGTCATACTTCGCCGCCTTTTTTCCGCCTCACCGACAATGCAGGTGATCGAGGACGGCGGTCACCACGCCTACGCGGAGTACGCAGACGAGTTCAACAATTACGTGAACACCATTGCGCATCTGGTGGATGAGGGTCATGTCTTTCACGCGGGTGGCGAAGAGGCGGTGCAGATGGCGGCGGCTTCATCTTATCATCCCACCTCAACTTTTAATGAGACTAATAGCAGTGAAGTTTCACCTTCCAAATAAACTATTATTCCCTCCCTCCTTTCTCGCATCACTTCTTGACGCTTCTGAACCCTCTGCTCAACCATCCAAAGTGATTTCACTACCCCTGCTTTTTATTTCCATCTTCTAGCTAAGTGTGGATTTTCACGAAGGTCTGATTCTACCTCGAGAAGTGAATTGGTAAAACAATTTTACTTCACCTCTTGGGATCTTCTTTTGTTATTCAGAGAAGTCATTTTGTGACTAGCCAATCTGAGCCCCATTGTGAACGCTGACCAAAAGTTGAAGTTTTGGGTGTAGAAACAGAATTCAGAACCTTTCCAACTGATACTTTTGTAAACCCAGTAGAAACGTTGTGGATATTGGCATTAATCGAAAGGAAAATCAAGGATAAACCAAGATGTCGTGGACCTGTTTGTCTGCTCTTGCGTGGTCGTAAAGTATTGGAGACACTTCATTTCCAATCTGTTTTATCCTAAGTTTGCTCGAGACTACCACTGATGTTTCGCTTGATAATACAACTAGCAGGCTCGAAATGGTGAGCTAAAATATGGAAATCATAGGCAGAAATAGAAAGCCACTTTAGAAGTCTGACGAAATTTCTCTTTAGTAACGTGGAAACAGCAGTCCAAAAGTTCAACCGTCTCAATAACGAGGATTATACACAAAAAACGTCTTTTAACGTAGCACAACTAGATGCCCTGCTAAAAGATATTTAACAAGATACCCTTTACCAATATTTGAATAAAGAATAGGTGCAGTAAGTTCAAATGTTTTTTTCCAAAATAAAACTCGAAAGCACAAACCTTTGGTAAAAAGAAATTGTTGAAGATGAATCCGGTAGGTTATTTCCACACCAATTCTGTTCTTTGTCTTTATTCTCCTCAAGGACTGAGCCACTACCAGCTCTTAAATGCAGAAGTTCATCTTGTCGACTTGAGCAGGTCACGTCTTGAGGCGAGTAATGTGATCAAGAGGTCAATAAATGCATGATGGCAATCCAGTGCGGTCACAGATTCAAGCGCCCTTTCAGTCTCTTCAAGAAGGCAGTTCAGAAGTAACCGAAGACCACGCTGAACAGAAGGAGAACGATCATCTTCGTCAAGGCTGTAAAGAACACCCAAAGGTGGAATCGTTTCATCAGATGTGAACAGAGCGAAGAGAATCAAAGCAAGGTAGTAAGATGGTCCCTCTATCGTCAAGTAGACTGATTTCCACGTTGCATCATCCCCAGTTGAGGGCAGTCGAAAAGTTGAGAGAATAAGATTTAGCTTTTGGATAGATCCACTAATGGATAACAAGTTCCCGAAGGTAGGATAGATTACGTCACATGGATTCTTGACACCGGGAATACAGAAGCCGTATTCACACAACAGAAAGAGGTTATCATGTTTTCCGTAGTTGATAAAAACCTATAAGCAGAATACACATCAGATAAGCTAACGCAAATCTTTGCAAGCAACCGTGTGGTAACTCATCTACCTGTTCGCCTGCTTGATAAGACGAGTCTGTCTTCACCTTTAGTACACCATTTGTGACCTCAATGCTAACAGACACGTCAGGTGAATGATTAAACAAATCAAAGAAAGGAATGATAGCGATGTTCTCATTGCTTCGATAAAAAAATCGAGGCTCAGAATCACAAATATGAGGAAGTGTGGACTTATTACCACCCCAGAGGCGAAGATTGACGTAGACACAGCGTGAATTAACAACTGACCAGGCCCATGCAAAATCTAATGGGGGATCAAAAGACGCCAAATTTGCAAAAAGGCGTCGGTAAGACCTACGCATCCTCTCTATCTGTGATTCAAAGGCGATTACCAGAGGCTTAGGCAAGAGAGGATGGAGTTTACTAACCATTTTGGGGCTTTCGATAGAAACGTAAGCGATATCCGCAAAAGACTTGGGAAGTATGTCAAAATACGCTTGCCACAAACACCAAAGATAACATTTCGGGTTCTGATGTGAAAACTTAAGATGGAAAAAGAATAAAACCAGAACGTCCTGCGGATCCTGAACAGTTACATTAACTGTTGGTTTCCAGAACTCATCAAAACCACAAGAACATTGGTTAAGGAGATAATGAGAACGACGAGGTGTGAGAACCAAGCGCGGATCATCCACCTTAATCGAAAGTAGATAGCTGTCAGACGACGGAAGAGATTTGCGTGCGACTAAGCCTCGACCACCTGTTGCTACTGTGTCTGATATTTCTAGTCCTAAAGTTCCTGGATCGCCGGCCCCATGGTTTAGTTCTTCAAACCATTTTAAGAACTGTGCCTGCTGTGACATTCCCTAGTGCTACTTGGCTCAGAAAATACCCAGGACCAAAGAAAAGCAGACCTCACCCAGCAAATGTTGTATAAAGCGGTCAACGATCAGGAAAGGAAAAGAAAACAGGTGTATTATTTGAGTATTTAAATCGTGGCAGGGTTTCTGCATATTTTTCTTACAGTTTTCCACGTCTCTTGAGTTATAGCTAGTAGCACATTTTATTACTTCTTTGAGCAACAAAACCAAGTTGTCTATTGAATAAAAGACTTATAGGGCTAAGCAATGCTAAAGAGACGTTAAATATAATACTTTACTGCGTAAATTAACATGAGCAGTTGCATTTGTTAAGTAAATAGCCAACTTCTACTGGGGATGCAATGCCCATTTCTCAGTCAACTATTATGCGAAATTTTTTTGTATCATTTAATTTCTCTCTATTCTGATTAAGCATGTCTCTTTCTCAACTGCACATAAAACCTTACTGTTTTTAAAAAAAAGCTGTTAGTTAGGTTTAGATGAATTTGAGATTTTTTTAAAAATAAGGATTCAATCAGCACTAGAATTTTAGAACAAACGTAGCACATTGGATATAACAAGTTCTGTATTTCTCCTATTTACTTCTAATTTCATATAATTCAAATGAGGAGAGAGCGTAGATGGTGACGTATTTTACTTGGCAATAATATGAGAGTTAATAGACGTCCAAGGATTTAAGGAGATCGGTTTCCTTTCTTTCTCAAGGGTTAAGGGTGTGCGCTTCGTCACGTGGCTAATGTGGACCGTGGTACAATCGATGCTTTGAACCCATGGGAGTGTGATGAATATCCAAACGTCCAGCTGTAGGGGGAATGAGCTGTGCCACCCCCACTGACAAAATCTACCGAAGGGTGACATGTTCACCCAAACGACCACCTCAACCCCTCTGCGAGACTCTCCGAGAGGCAGATAAGGCACGATGTCGGCTCGACCCCTGCGAATGCAAGGAAGATAAATGCGGACTCCAACCACGCCGCATTCCCTTGCTAGGCACAGAAGATCCCCCACCGGAGAAATCTAAACGTGCTTTTGGTATGCAAGCAGAGCAAGGCATCTGGGATATTGGGAAGCCGCTCCCAAGCAGAGTTTACCTACCTCTGAGGCGATCACGATTTCGTGTAAGATATGAAAGGGGCCTCTATCCTTTCCACCTCGACTATTCAGCAGACGTTTCCGTCGCTAGGATCACCTGGTGTGTCGATATGGAGCAGTATGATATTACTGATCTGCTGAAAGACACGCTTGAAGCACAGTCGGATGATTCGCATTGGGCACACGTAGGACACTTGGTCTTCATGGACTTGCTGAAGCACTTGCCCCCTGTAAAATTGGCTGGCACACTGCCTTCCTTCTCCATTGAGTTCAGGAAGATGATGCGTAGAAGTGAGTAGCAAATTTTAGTAGGCTTAAATTTGTATACTTCTGATCTAAAAGACAACCGCTCAATCAATAGTCCTGTTATGAACCAAAACCACCAAGGTTTAGTGTCATCACTCCACTTCCACAACACCCGGCTATTTTCATTTAAGCGATGTATCAACATTAAAACAAAATCGAAAAAATTATCTGATTAGATTTAGAACGCATTATTTAGTCTTGATGTTTGTTATTATGAGAGTCTATTGTTTTGACTTCTTATTGTTTTAGCTTATCAGCATAAGGTTAGACAATGGGAGTCAGTTTTTTAAGATCGCTAAAGTAAATGGGAACATGCAATTTACTTCTACCAGAAGGATAGTAGAGAATGATTGATTTTGATATGGAAAAGATTTTTTTTCTCATTCTGCTTTGTTAATGCATGTTGAATTGGACTTGGATGAAGAGAGATTGAAATATGCAGGAAGGACTAACGATCCATGAACCCCTCTTGTAGATAACGAAGAAATAGCGCGACGTCTTCTGAAAATGCTAAAGGAACTGGCCCTAGTGGTGACTAGCATTGGTCCCGAATTAGCCTTCTATGCACACGACCTTTTCAATCTCTGCAACCAGTGGCTGGAGCGATACAAGGAGGTCGGTGATCGCATTGTCTACGAGCAGAAGAAGCGCATTCACCTGAATGACCTCACTGACGAACTGCACGCCATTTTTGAGGTAGTATCGGGAGCTGAGCATGACTACGCAGTAGCAGGCATGAAGTTGGCCATTCCCACCTACCGGATTCCCGAGAAGGCGGCAAATCCACCAGGAAAATGATGCAACACTTTGGTTGGGATATACCCATTGGTGCAATGTTTGAGTAGCACCTAATTGTCTTCAACAAATAAAATATCCTTTTGAAATTTTTGTTTGAGGTCGAGATATCGGGTCGGTTCAAACGGACATTAAACAAAAATTGCTTTCTTCATGATAGGGGCCACGTCACCAAGTAGAGGTACAATCGCAGAGTCCTAAGTGCCCGCAAAACGACGAAGAAGGGTTGAGCAAACACTTATTATACTATGTAGCTCTCTTCCTACTTCATATGTCGTCCCCAATGCTCCCCTTGGTCATACTCCGGCGTTGGCCACCGCAATGAATTCGTTTCTGTAAGAAGGCACCCACTAGCCATCGCGTCAGTCACCGAATTCGTGTGCAGCTGAGACGATAACCTACTGCAACGTCACTGATCACTCTCAGAAATTCAACTGGATCTGGAGTTTTGTCGTGTTTTGGAATTGTAGTGGGGATGAAGGAATGTGCTGCCCATCTCGTATTCCCATTACTAGTCGTAAGACCACTGGCTGAAAAGTAGTCATTTAGTAAGGAACGGGATTTAAAATGGTATCGTAAGAATAGGATTTCGCATCTTTTCCCCCTTGCCACTTTGCTCTCGCTTTACTGCTACCCTACCATACCTACCCAAGTTATTTCTGGCTAGTGGCAAGGTGGAGGATGTATCGCGTTTTCACCTAATTGACATCTTCTTACGGGTATCCTAGCCACCTCCGTAACGAACCATTACCGACAATTCCCTACTAATGTCGCTTCAGTTGTAAATAACACTCCAATAGAAAAGGTACTGGGGTAGTTGCCGAAAATTGACGTCAAATTCAACCCTTCTGTTGGGAGTTGATACAGATTCTCTCACCCTAACTGTATATTTTTTCTTTCGTCACATAATAATTTTACAATTAGGGATGGATATCAGAATAGATCTCCTTTACGGTCAAAGTTGCTTTAGCTATCACCACCGTTGCCCTTCAAGCGATTTCTGAAGGCGAAAGAAGCCATAACATTAGGTCAAAGATGTGCTACGGGGGCTGCTGGAATGGCATGCTGGCAAGCGGAAGTAAAAAAGCGGATCCTTAAGTATTTGCAAAGCCAAAATAAAGAGATGGCCAATTAATCAAAGTACTGCAATGCAACATCTCAAATCACTGTCAAATGTCATTTTTACCTACTCCACGAAGGCATTTAACCACAAAGTTGACCTTTCGGAAAGACTTACGAAGACGCGGAAAGGATTATTGCAAAAGCACATCCGGTATTCGTAAATACATTTCTTCTAGTCTTCTGCAGTAAGATTTTTTAGCAAATGCCCTATGGCCTTCAGAGCACATTATAGAAAGATTTCATGAGTAATTTTATAGTGAGTCCAGGGTTAGCGATTACGATACCACTCAATTTGAATGATTGCGAATTTTTTTGACGGGAATGCAAGCTTTTTTTTCGTATTTACATTTGGTGAATGCAAGGGCTGGCAAACCGTATCTACAAGCAACAAATCGAGTTATTACGTCTGGCAATATGGTTGAAGTTGTCGCAAGTGCTTTAGTTATTTTTCGCTCTTAAAAATGTTACTAATTTTTATAAGTAGCATTAATACCTACAAATTATTACTTAAGCGTAAAAACACTTTGGCACACGATTAACAAGCCAAGACATTAAGATACACTTATCCTGGTGGTGTGAAAATGGTATGTGCTGGTCACCTACCTTAGCTAGTGGCAGAGGAACCCTAAGTCAGGTCTTAAACATATGCCCTTAAAGATTTAAAATCCATCTGCCCATACGATTTCAAAGTGAAAACCCAGATATCACTTAGTCGCTGCATCATGTAACCAAGGCAGAAAAAGAATTCATTCATCATATTTACGGACTCTATTGGTGTCCATCATCCATTGACAGGATTGTGATCACGTCGTTAGCCTGGCAACATAGAATGCACAATCGTATGTAAGTATAATAGCGACCGCTACTCCCCTGAATCAGACATGTTTGTTATTTACTACTGTCAATTTCAGCCTTAAAGTTGGCGAAAGGGATTTAATTAACAAGGCGAAATTTTTGAGACACCCCACCAAATGAGCACCCCACTCTACTTGGAATTAATCAAATGTGCAAATACGCTGATGCAAATAGCTCTGGAAACAGTCAACCATTACTCACAACTGCTCCATTTACATTTGCATCGCTGAGGCACCAACAGAATGATAGGGCACAGCCTGGTCTCACGCCGACATTGTGACTTGGCGACATTATGGTGGTGTGGGGTGCTCTCGCGCTTGTCGTAACACACATTGCCGCACATGGCTACCCGTCTCACCTTTCAGCGGTCAATGCTATAAGAAGTAACCCGACCTAGTGAATGAGTAGCCATGTTACAGGATGTCTTTATAGAGGGTTAAGTAAGCCAGCTGGAGGGCTTAATTAGGGTGTGTTTAAGCTGAGGAACATGGAGGAATGTGTGTATATTGCTGTAGGTTTCAGGCTGCCTCAGGCAAATGGAGTGAATTGTTGCACACACAATCAATGCACTTCAGGTGTGCAACTCAAGAGGCTTTGAATACTCCAGGCGAGTGATGTGAGAAGCAAGCCAATCTCTAGCCCAGAGAAGCATGCGCACAAGCGCTCGACTAGAAACATTCACCATGAGTGTGTTTGTTTATGTGTGCAGTAGAGAAAAAATCCATTCTTCTTTTTTTCCAGGTACTGCAAAGGCAAGATGAGTCTACAGAAGCTCAAAATTGACTGCGAAGAGGGCCTTCTCGACACCGCAATCGAGGCCGCGAGGAAGGCTTTGAGTCAGTCGGACTCGAATCGCAGCAGAGCGTCCTACGTTCGACGCGTTATGGACGAGAAATATGGACAAGCCTGGTGCTGCGTAGTAGGCAGAGATTTTGGCAGGTGGGTTTCCTTTTTGATGCACTTTGAGTGACACCTCTTAGCCGTTAGCGTAATTTTCACTTCTTCCTTTCAGCGAGCTGCCCTATCTTCCCAATCACTTTGCTTTCTTCACCGTGGACAACGTCTCATTCCTCGTTTGTAAAAGCTCGGAGAATGTTATAACTTAACTAGAGAAATGTAGCTTCGTATTTCCTAAGCAATGTCTTGATTTTTAGCATCTCTTAGAAGTTTTAATATAAAATAAACTTCCCCTTTTCTAATCACTTTGTTTACAACATGGAGTAATTGGGCTGGTTGTTTAACAATAGTCGAATTTGTAGATCTCTGAGCAAAGCAGAGACGGGAAATCGCGATTATGGGACCACTTGATGGGCCGAGTTTGAAGGTCACAGCACACCAAGATTGGCAAAACTTGCCCTGGAAACACAAGGCCTTTACTACTGAATTAAGCCCTATCATAAAATCAAGAAATATTTATTTTTCACCAAGACGTGCAGATTCATCGGTTAAATCCACAAAACAGACGACGCACATAGTTATGTATAACTCCGAAGACTTCAGCTAAACGATGCTGGTTAATGAAGTCATCAGTCGGAAATTATAAGTTACTAGAAATTAAGAAATACGTGTCTTTCATAACCATGCCGGTTTTGGAATACTTATTACTAGCATTACCAGTATGGCATTAGGAATTTTCATTTTAAGTACGTAGGTATCGCTCCTAAATGCTTGCGATCAACACACTTATTCCAAGTAGAAAGTTTCAAATCCTCATAGTTAAGTGCGTCCTCGCAAGCCACTGGCTAAGAACTGTAACTGCGTTAAGCGGGGTGGATTTAAGGTAGCAGAAGTTGAATATGGGAGAAGGAGAAGAATAAGAGGCAAAATAGGCGCCAGTCAACTAACGCACGTCAATCAGCGCGGCAAGGACACCACACAGCACAACACAACGCGCAATGCGTGGGTAACACGAGCCCCGCGGATTCACAGTGGCACACAATTGGCTGTGCGCCAGGTATTAAATACCAACACAAGTCCTCTGTATACGCAGTAACCGCACGTAGTAGTGTATTTGCTCACCATCGCATCATGTCAGAACCGAATGTCAAACAACTTCAAGTGGAATGCGACACATACAAGCTAAGGACGGCCATTGATGCGGCCACGGAGGCGATTAGCAGGACAAAATCGAACCAGGAGCGCGCTACTTATGTACGTCAAGCTATGGATAACAAGTACGGACCTGCATGGAGCTGTGTAACTGGTCTCGATTTCGGAAGGTAGGCTATTCTCTCAGCAGTATCATTCACCTACACACATGAATGCGAATTGGAAATACTTTAATGGTTCCACTTTGGCTTACTCAAGCAGCAGATTTTTTCTTGTACTTTAAGAGTCGTATTCCTCCAAGGTATGTGCCCTTATTAATAATACCGCCATGTACATGCCTTTTAGCGAAATCCCCTATCTTCCGGAAAATTTTGCCTTCTTCACTGTCGATAATGTCTCCTTCCTCGTTTGTAAGTCTACGGAAAATGTAAAAGTTATGTAAATCCAGGCTTGGTGCCCAGAATTACATCAAAAATTTAAAAATAAATTCATTTTGCTGACGGCTTTCCATTTTTTCAGTCCCAAATTGAATATTGCCATGTCCTTCTTGGATAGCATTTGGCACTAAGTGAAGAGAAAGTTTAAAAGTAAAGATCGGAAGAGTTTAAAAAAATTTATTGTTGTATTTTTTAAATAAAATAAGAAGGTGCAAAACTGAAGTTGTATCTATATTCTGATCTGATAATCTAAAATGAACACCTTGGTATGCCATCTCAGCGCAGACTTTTGTGCAATTCAAGGTCAAATGCTAATTGATATGAGGAGCCATGGTGAAAGGTGAGACTGATGCCAACATGTTGGAACGCCCACAAGACAGAGCAGGCGGCAGTTTTCTAAGCTTCTTAACAGACGCCAAATATTTCTGTTGAGCACAACACATGCCCTGTTTCGCCTAAGGCCTTGTGTATTGACAGCGTTAGGGTGTAAACGCACATCTAGAGACAATCAAACCCACAAATCAAATTGACTTTCACCTTGCGTATAAGCCAACTTTATTTCTCGCAGGCTAACGTGGTCTTTGCCTTGTCAATGATATTTCAGTAGCATTAAAAAATCCAGAAAATCTTAGAACATTAGTAAAATGATGCTAAATTGTAAGTAAAAAATAAAGAAAGCGTTGTTTTATGTATCTTTGAACAGCCTTGAATTACCTTAAACCCGTCAAACTGTAATTGCATTTTAAGGACAGAATTGTAAAAATAGGTAGGTACTTCGTAACTGTCGAAGGAGGTGATTAGTACGACCCCATAAAGCAAATTGCTATCAATCTTTAATCTTAAAAAGGTATAGTATTATTGCGAATAAATTGGAGCGTATTCTAGAACACCAGTGATTTACTAACTGTCATATCTCTTGTGCTGGATAATGAGTGGATAAACTTAAGTGTAGAATATTAACATGATGTTTAAACTTTTCTTTAGAACATCTTAACAACGAATGACAGTCGGTCCTCAAATATTAGCTTAGGGATGCTGAGGAGTAAAGCCTAGGATCTGCAACTCCAACAATACATGACCACCAATTTTCGGGAGAGAAAGAGGAAGTGCTGCAAATGAATACAACACCGGTGAAAAAATGCAACAGCTAGCCTTTTTTCACGTGCAATTTATAGGAGCCGACTGTAATAAAGCCATTCTTACAAGCAGTATTTGAGGAAGTCAAACAAATTCTAGTTCTGTAGCCCATGCCCAAAAAGTAAAACATTTATAGTGGCGAAAAACATTATCAAAGCGATGCATCTCGAAAGCTTTTTAAGACAGTCAGTAAGTTTCGTTTTAATCAAAAAGCAATTACCTTAAAATCCCGAACTTGAGGCAAAGTTACTACTTAAACAGGGAATTCGGTCCAGGAAAACAATAACTAGGCGTGTGGATTAATTTTTAGGGGTCAATGACAAATGCTAGTCCATAAACCTTAACTGAAGGATATTAGACTGAAAGTCTCCAGACTTTTGGCCCCATTTACTTTCTACTGACCTTACAACAGTAAAATATTCTTGACAAGGCAGAATTATAGTCTTTGGGCATCCTTCTGATAGGTGGTGGAGTTGACAGTAGCACCGATTTCTATTTTAAATTCAAATTACTTTAAACGTGAAGTAATTAATCCTCTGGCAAATGCAGGGAACCACACTGTGGAGAATAGGGACCAACATAGGAATCGGGCTACTTGTTTCGTCGACAATAAAAGCTATCCCTCATAGCACAAAATTAAGTACTAAATCATGTTTTATAAAATAGCATTAATTAGTTTGGGCGATATTTGCTTTTCCCCTACTACGCAGATGGATGTGAAAATGAAAAACACTTCATGCCGAAATTCCACGCAAAGTCCTACCACAAAGTCGTAACTATTAAGTGACAAATATGAGACTTATCTGAACCAGGGAAAGGTGAATAATTCTACATTTAGCCAATCAAACCTCCTAGTACCTGGGACCTCAATGCGCTCAGCTTTTATGTTTTGGTTTCTAGTCTGACTTTCTGCACCACTCGAAGTCTCATCTATGAGCAATGGGTTATAGCTCAGTTAAGGAGAGTCCATGAAGTTTTTGTCGTTGATGTTAGCGAAATAATCTGCGACACTTAAGAACCAAGGTTCTAACAGCACAAATTTCTATGAAGGAAAAATTGGTTGGTTGTGCATCCACGCTGTGGACAGCTGTCACCAGCCACTGCGCGTATTCTCCTCACTGCCTATGTGGGAGGCGATTTATCCATTGACGCAACAGTGCCCCTGTAGACGAGAATGAAGAATACCAAGATCAAGGGCTTTTCAGCCCATACGCGGGTTCGAGATGTCCAGCATATAATGAAGGGCGTCGAGCGTTTCATCTCTTTGTGTCCACATCTTTAACTGACTGCCCCTCACGAGATGTGTACTGAGGAATCGAGAGGTTCGTTGATCCCTGTGCCTACACACCAAGTGTTTGCCTTTTTCTAACTTCTGAGTTAATTCTCTTTTGGCGTTTGATCTAGACATATTTTAGCTACATTCTGCTCAAGATTGCGCGCACTCCAGCGACGATAAAAAGTCCCGAGTTTAGGGTCATCCTTAGAGCGAATATGATTGGACAAGAATTGGGGTTAGAAATACTATAAAATTTATCTTAAACTAAATTAAAGTGCATCTGCAAAAGTTGCATGGTAAGCGATCCACTGAGTTTTAACTAATCTGGCGCATTTATACCTTTTTTGATCCAGCAATCGTGATGAATTTCGGTGCTTCCTAGTGTCTAGTTGTTTCTGAACTTTGATTATTTAGTGTATATTCCAGCGAGTTTTTTTTAGACAAATGGGAACTTTGCTTTAAGAAATGCCACTTTTTTACTTTCGAGGAGCAGTCAAAGATTTACCAGCTTTACATTCAAAAAATATTTGTTAAGTCAAAGCCAGCCTTATTTTAATGCCAATCAATTAAATCTTTAACCTTTGACCTTGACTTATTTGCATTAATACCGCGAATGCCTAAACCAACTGTGCTTTTGAGTGTGGTGAGAAATTCTCCTTCATCTGCGGTATACTTCAAGCTAAATGGGAGGGTTCTTGTTGATAATTCCTGTTAAACCTGGTGATTTTCGAAGTCAAGGAACCCACCGTTGTGTACCTTTCAAAAAAGATGTTTAATTAGGAAAATTTGCGATGCTCGAGGATGGTACCGTCACTTAGTTTTATTCTTAAGCACTTGAGTTACTATTGGACTAGTTCAAGATGGATGTCATTAGATCATACTGGCAGTATAGATGATCTCAAAGCCTAGATGCGGTAGTCGTGATTGATGTCATAGCAGTGAGCCTCTCAACTCTACTGTTTTATCTTCCGTTTTGCTCGGGGAAACCTAATACACAGTGCTGTTTCAAAACAGATTTATCATAAACAGACATGCTCTATACTACTTAAGTACAAAAAGAACATATGTAATTTTTGAATTTTGAACTAGAGTATAATTAAACCTGATGGCAATAATCATTAAATTACTTCACTATAAAGGAAACTTTGATATTTGTGTTCAACCAAAAGGCGATAATTGCCTAACAGCGAGTTAGATCCTCTCCAGGTAGAAAAATGTCACGAATCTGCCGATGGAGGTACACACCGGGATGCGAAAATGCCACCTCTGGGAGCATAGCCCCATCGGACACCTGTCTGGATGATTTCACCTGTACCTGTGTAAAACTTGGCAACTGCTTGAGTGCCTGTGCTCTGGAGGAGTGCTTCAACGGTTGTCAACCTTGGTCTCATTGGAGTGTCACTTGTGCCTTCGTATTCCACGGCAATCCGGTGCATCGCAATCGGTCTAGGATCTGCAAGTGTGAACTTCAAGATAGCACCTACCCTCAGGTGGGCTCACTTGGGCTATTTTCAAAAGATAATAAGTGTTAGATTAATCCAAAAAGAGGTTCTTCTGTAAAAAAATGGAAACTTATTTTTCTGTAATACATTCTCGCTACTATTAAAATATCTTAAAATTCTATACTTTGATTTAATCAGTTCAGTCTACTAATTGCCATAGGAAGGAGATGATCAATAATATCAGCAACTCTCTTTTATATAATTCAGTTGTAATTAATTTGGAGTTCTTAAAAGTCACCACTCGTAAGAGAACCTACCGCACTGCGAATGAATTTACTTCCTCCAGAACCTGGTAAATTAACAAAGTATACATGTTTTAATTAAAAATGAAAAGTAGCGGGGGTGGCGCACATCTATTTGGGAAGAGTTTTTTTTTCAAGTCCCTTGTTTGGGTCATAACCCATTATTGAGTAGGCGGGACTACTTCAGCTGTACGGTTGACCAAGACGAAGGGACGAAGCCATTGAGTAAAACGTTTGCAGACAAAATAATCCCAAATAGTTTTTGAACTTTTTTACACCATACATTTGATAGATATTTATTAATTACGAATTTTTATTCGGAAATAAGAATCTCAATCAGAAGTACCGAGGATGACGGAAGTTTCTAGTAAATCGGCATTAAAATTGTTAACTAATGTCCAGTGGGATGAACTGTTCACCTGTTTTAATCCTTAAAAAATACATGGACTATAATAAATTATATATATGATTGCAATTGCTACGATTTTTAGATATTGTTGCGCATCTAAAACTGAATAGGTTTTTCATAACATCAAGATTTAAGTCCATAACTTATCTTGAGGTAAATAGAACCCTTAAACTGTTTCAGTGGATAAAAGTGGGATTTTCATTAAAAAATTTCTAGACATACTTTAATTAGCATTAGGTTGTGGCACATAAAAATTAGAGATTTTTCAGGAATGGTAAGAGCTTCTCCAAGATTGACTTACTAGATAGAATCTACTGCACAATTGAAATTACCACTTATTCAATTTTACACATTACACATAACATGGTATCAAGGTCAAAAGGTACCATATCTAATTGCGGTGTCTTTACCCTCACCTTCCGGGACAACTTAAATCGCTAATTCATTAATCTTCTACGCCAAAAGACCTGATCTTATTGAAATGAAAATGGCATCAGAAAGTCACCAAAATCTTCCTGCGTTGTGGTGGAATGTTCACGGATTTTGCCTTGACAATGAATATGCTAAGGACTAACTAACGTGGAGATGCCCTTCAAATGAATAGTATAATTGAGTAAAAGATCGTCTTCAGATGTATTTTTAAACATCCTCGACGTCTGCTTAGATGATATCTGGTCTTATTAAGTAACCATCTAGTGGTCGTTTGCTCACCGTTTTAAGGATGCTCTTCAAGCACGTAGGAAGCTAAATAGCTCAACTTTTTATTTAGTAATCTTAATTTTAGAGCCATCGCCTTTTAGTTTTAGCTATTCTTTGAAGATTTCTTACGCAGTCACTATGCGGCAGCTCACTATATGGAACAGAAGCCATAAAAATGAATTTTTTATAGGAAGGAGGGAAGTCCTGCCGTACCCCAGGGTTGGCTAAAGCTATGTAATTTTGGTTACGAATCCATCCACTTTATCATTATTAATGGCAACAATTTAAGATCTTAGAGAAAAATTAACCAACAACATGTTATAATGGAAAGTGAATGCCACATTCCAAATTGCTTAGCACCGTGATGAGAATAATGCTGCGACGTCTGCCGTTGAATCCCATAGATAAATATCAACAGCACCTGTTGGCAGTACTCAACGTGCGAGACGAAATGGGAGCTCTATCGCTTCCTCCTCTTCCTCTTCACCTGTGTGGTCGTGATTAAATTGGCGGTAGTGGTAGGTACGGGCCTCGTAGCCTTCTTCGCTCCATCTCCAGCTGAACAGCATGTGCCCGGCTTTAATCTGCACCCCGTCGACACGACCATTGGACTGGCCGAGGATGTCTCGATCGCAGAAGACGAGGAAAGGTTAAAGGAGACAGTGGAGAGGGGAGGAAACGAGGAAGGAAGAGAAATGGGAATAAAAGTTGAAGTGTGATGTTTCTTTTCTGGCTATTGAATAGTGAAATAGTTGACACAATAAATCGTTCACCCCACGGTCTATCCATTAACTTTCACTCTCATTTGTTTTGTCTTTTGATAAACTTTTCAGATTAACATTTAGCCATTCTTTCGTTAGTTAAAATATTCATTTATCTCCTTAGCAATGTACTCACCCTCTTCACTTGGCTTGTCTTTTATTAGTCTAACCCTCCTTCAAATTATCGTATCATAATTTTTCATTTGTAAATGCACCCAATTCTTCAGTCATTTGCATAAAAACAATTTATGTGTTTGTCATTTTGGGGTGCAGCTATCAATAAAAAGTGAGGGGAAAAACTGTACTCTTTGATCATTTTGATCACTTATAACTTCTCTCAAATGATTACCCGTCTATTCTATTGACCATAAATTGCTCTACTAAATGTCAAACTTCTCCTTTCTTTGCATGTTTACGAAGAAATCTTTAAACCATCTCACTACTCAATCAGTTATAATCTAACTTTTCATTGATTCATATTTTCATAAGGTGTCAATAAAAGACCGCCAGTACATTAAAAAAGCAAAGATCTTGTTTTATAAAACTATCAATGCATATATGCGACCACTAATCCAAATGAGCTGTAGGGCGAGACTCACCGGTCTCATTTTCTTAGTTGTAGGCCACTAACACAACACCTATTCGATATGAACACTTCCTGTTTCCTATCGTTTCAACCAGACCCCCCATTGCTAACATTTTCATTGCTTCAAGGAAATTTTACGATCACTGCTATTACAGAGTGAGCACAACCACGATTGCCTTTAATGTTACTACTACGTATAACACTTCACCGCAATGTTTTAAATCTAGTTTGGCCATATTACAGCCGTATAGCGGTCGAGCTACCTGTGAAGGCCTTGGAAGATTGCAAGCAGCCACCCTGCGAACGTGCAAAAGGAGGGGATAGAAGGATGAATAAAAGTTCCAGAACTCCACAGCAAACAGCAGCAAGTACGCATAGTTAGGCCAAGTACAACCTTCTCACCTCTTAGGAAGATTCGACATTCCTTTCCTCCCCAACCAATGAGGAAGACACTTCAAACATAATCTCTATTTATCTGCTTGTTCCATGCATTAAAAAAGGGGAAAAATGATCGCTATTACACAGAAAGCACAACCGCAACTAATGTTTAGTAATACAGAAGAAAATGGAAATTATATAAGCTTAACCTAAATGCTTGGTATGTATGTGAGAAGCGGGGGAGGGGTACAAAATCCTCATTCAAACAGACCAATCACTGCCATCAACGCAATACCAAGGATCACAGCTGTGAGTTCAGCCGCAGCCTGTCCGATTCGCCGAGCCACCTTGGCGGCTGGCCGACGCTCGCCAGTCTGATGGTCAGCGAGCAGATCGGGCAATACGGAGGCCAACGCAATGTAGATAAACCCACCCGCGGTGAAGGGCAGCAAGCAGGTAGTAATGAGCTCCGGCGAAAGAACGAAACTGGTGGTAGACTCTCTGCTATCCGCTCCGACGCCAGCTGCGAGAAGACTTAAGCCAGCACCGAGGAGTGCGCCCAGAGCTGTAACGAGCTGCAGTAGCATAGCCTAAACAAAAATCAGGAGCTACTTATTAGAAACTAAGTAGGTTGCGCCAAATTTCGAATCAAATGCATTCTCTTCGTCGATTTTATTATCTAGTCAAGCAGGTGGCAAAAAAAATTCAGTCAGATTAGGAGTCCTTTTCAGCCCACAAAAAGACATTCCGTGTATTTTGAATGGTGCTATTTTTAAGAGCTACGCTTCATAAGACGCCGTTTTTGTCTGTGTTAACCCGAAAAATACCGCTCGCCTAATTGCAAGTCCCCTTCTCCTTCTACTACCACCATTTCGTCCGATTCGGTTAATGCACACGTCCACTCACTGTACCTAACTTGAACTAATCATTAACCACCTTGATTTTAGCGTGGATTATCGTTATGCCAGCTCCTAAGAACAAGAAGCAAGCTGGAGATGGGGTCTTCAAACAGCCACCATACTGCACGCGTACGCCATTGCTAAGGATGTTATCAGTGCTTCCACTTCGCATTGCAAAATCATGACTCCAATGCAATTCAAAGAGAAGTAAACCACAACCCAAGCACCGCCGAGTCCCTACGAAAAGTAAATTGCGTTAGCATCACAAAATACCAATCAAAAACAGTGAAACCAGAAGAGCGTGCGCCATACTTGGAAAACCTCACAAATAATATATGCAGAAGATGAGTTCACTAATCGCAATACCAAACAAAAGGGGGAATGAACCAATGAGAGTTGGGATTAAAGAGATGTCGCGGCACCTCAACATGACTAAACTAAACGCCGTTTAAAAAGGGAGAAAAATAATACTTAGCGACCTAGACCGCAGAGATAATCAAGGAACATACCCGATGAACCCCACAGCCAGACTTAATAAGAATCGCGTAGTCACCGATTTCGTGAGGCAATTCGTGGATAAGCACAGTCAGAGTGGTAACGTAGCCCACGTTACGGCTTATCAGGAAAGATCCAGCTAGAATAGGAACAGAAACAGGTAGGCCTATAAGATAAACATTTGACCAACTTAAAATCAAAAGGTCTGCAGCGCATAAAAAACAATCCACAAATCAAATATATGCTAGCAAACTACTAAAACGAGCAAAAGCGATCAGACCATTAAACAAGATACAAAAGAGCTCATTTTTTGGCATGTTGGAAGGGAATAAACAAGCTAAGCAAAAGGGTGCCACTACAAAAAAAACTGCAAACTGGTCATAAAAAGAGGCTCCATTACATTCCCAAATGAGACAATGACCCAGACAAGCGAGTGAGAAACAGAGGGCTAGAGACATGAAAAGGCAAATGACGTGATAGGCCTACCGATTGCGATGCCATCGGTGACATTGTGCGTGAAATCTGCGGCGAGATTCAGATATCCAGCTGTGTTCATACCTAGAAAACTCAGGCGATAACAAAAACTCGAGTACGACCTAGCAAGAAAATGTGGCCAAAAAATCAAGGACAAACCTGGCCTGCTTTTAGTCTTGTTCTTGCTAGGGCCATTGGAGACCGAAGCACCGCCATTGCTATTCCCTGCTTTGGCGTTTTTCTGCTTCTTACCATCATTCTCACTAACAAGCGAGCTATGAGAGTGGTCACGACCACTTCGCACGAAACGGAGAGACTTGTCAATACACAAAAAGACGAAAATCCCACCGATAACGCAGAGGAAGACACATGTATTTCTGTCCCCCAGGGAGTGTGAGTGACCATGAGCGTCGTGATGGTTTTCGTTGTGGTTATGGCCGTGGGCGTGAGAGAGGGCGTGGGGGATGAGATGGAGGAAAGCATCACCAAGGAGCCCGCCTGCCGCAAATCCGAGAAGGATCTTGAGCAGCTCACGATGTTTGTTGAGATCAGGAACGAGAAAAAGAAGAATGAAGGGTGCTAAACTGATGCCCACAACCGCACCAACCGTATCCATCCATATTTGACTGGAACGAGATTTGATATCGTAATGTTCGTGAGGATGATCATACTCATGAAGATGATCCCGATGCTGATCATGAGGATGGCCATGAGCGTGAGAATGGCTAGGGAGTGAGCACATTCGTGTAAGTTTTATATTAAACCAACCACGTGCGAAAGTATTCTTGTGAGGCAACACCACAGTTGGACTGGTATATATGTAATAAACGAGAATAAAAATACACGCAAAGTCTGCTCGATGCTACAAATACCAAGTTGAATTGAATTAATGTAATTTGAGAAGGACAATAATAAGCAACTGCATGGGATGTTACGATAAAGATTACCTTTCCGAAGCTTCGCCGGAGTGAACATTCTCACCAAACGAGGCTTTTGTAAAGGCTGCCAAGAGGAGGAAGACAAGGAGCGTGGCCGCCACGTAGCGCATCATCACCAAAATGAGAAAGGCATCATAAACCAAGCCAATGAAAAAACAGTTACAAGTGCAAGAATAACCTTGACCCAGTTGACGGAGGAGTGGAAATGTAAAACAAATTTTCTTTCAAATGGCATTCCTTAAATGCAGCTAATTTATGTTTCTCTTTTTAAGGGGATAAACTAAAATGTAAAAGCATTAACTCTACGTAGTAGATGGGATGCAAAATGTGACTTAAAGCAAAATAGGTAATTAATTTAGCAAACTTATATAATAATAAGCTGCAGCATCGTAGGGGACAGGTTTTGTGCGTTAGGTGCGTAATTACACCTTTGCATCTCGACAAAGGCCTATCATCATTTTTAAGCCTCTTTACAGCATTCGCTTGTTGACCCACTATTAGTGTTCACGGTAATGGTTCGGTATTTTGTGCCATGTATGGCTAGCAAAGCAGAGACTTCCTTAAAGAAAAGTTACGACATAATACTTTAGCAGGACATGCATCGTTAACAATCAGATAAGTTTGGAGCTACTGGCATGGCGCAAAGGCCAGGCCGCATGTTGGCGTTACAATTTTGTAACGGCCTTGCTACTGAAAACGTAAGCCAAAATTGCAATCAGAGTATTACCATGCATACCCTTTCACACTTCTTGAACTATAATACAACTTCAGCAATGACTCGAAATGCTGCTTTGTCAGTGGCGGGAAGCAAACCTGATCGAGTAGGGAAAACATCCTGATTAGGCCATTGCACCACGCCAGGCGTGCTGGCCTTCGGGTCATGGCAGTAGCTCAAATACCTCTGCGTTGAATGTATATATATATATATATATATATATATATATA